ATTTAATTTTAATATTATAAAATTTAATCAGGAAATAACAGTTTTTAATATTAAATTTTACTATTTCCACTGTTAATTATTGTATAAAAATTATTAAAATTTTCACCGATTGAAGTACAATTTGTTATTAAAAACTAATATTTACAGAGAAAATGTTCTACTTCTAAAGTAAATTTTTTTAATTTTCATAAAGGAATTTTCTTCAGAAATAGTAAAAGTTTTTCTGGAAATATTAATTTTTAATAATAAATTTTACTCTTAATAATAATAATAAATAATAATCATTTTTAATTAAACAATTATTTAACAATTGTATTTTGTAAGTTATAATAATTAAAAAATAAATGAAAAAAAGAATAAAAAAATAATTTACAAATTGTAAGAAGAAATGTATCATTAGAGTCTCTAAAATTAAAAAAAAATTTGGAAACTAATTATTTTTTTCTATTGCAGAGTCATGGATCATGGAAACTTTACTTAATAAGGAAATGACAATCACAAGAGGACATTTAATATTTGAAGAAAGTGCCTAAAGCCCCTTATCATTCTCATGTCCGGTGGTGAAGTATTAGACGACTGGACGGAGAACTGATAAGGGCCCGAGGGTTACAGAATCATCGTTGGATTGTGTACAAAACGCAACAATATTCAATTATTATATCTTACAATGACTCAAACTGCTCACAACATTATTATGAGGAATGCCATTTATCGACTTCTGCACAAATATTGTATATCTAATATAATAATAGTAATGACAATGGTATGGAAACAAATCTACAAGAGAGAAGAGGACAAAAAAGAACAAAAAGAAAAATTTACCATTCTGCATGTTCTGAATTGTAATTTTCAAATAAGTAAAAAAAAAGTTATGAATTATAAATATTACTTGTAAATAAAAAATATACCGTCAAATGGGGTAATTAGTACACCAATAAAAAAAAATTTTTTTACTCAGCGCTAACTAGACTTTTTATTTGTTTCAAATAAATTTTATTTGGTTTAAATCAGGGACTTTCACGAAAAATTCGTGTCGTATCGTGTCTTGGCACGACACAAAGTTCGATTGGTATTTCGTGTCGTGTCAAGGCACGACACGGACACGAATTTTTGTGTTATTTCGTGTCCGTGTCGGTCCCTGGTTTAAATAAAATTTTATTTGTTTCAAATAAATGTTATTTGCTTCAAATAAATAATAATTTGCTTCAAATAAAAAAGTTTTATTTATATCGAATAAAATTTATATTCAAAAGAAATAATTAATTTATAGAAGGCTCTGAGGCAAATATACTTTTATTTAACTCAAATGAATTATATTTGGTTTAAATCAAATTTGTTTCTGGGTGTAACAGTGGGGTAATAAGTAACAGGACTTTAAATTTTAATTCAGGATATAAATTGTCGATATCAATTGTTTTTGTTGTCCGATCTTCGTGAGTCAAACATTTACGAAAAATGTACATATTAAAAAAGTCGGAATACAAAAACGTCTATAATAAAAATCCTGAATCGAAATTTAAAGTTCTGTTACCTGTTACCCCATTGTTACTAATTGACCCATTTGACGGTTAGCACCTTCTAGAAAATTGTAAATAAAAAATTATAACTCTATTTTTTAGTAAAATTTCACTAATTTCTAATCATCTGATTCATTAATAGAATTACCTATAGTGAACCTGTATTATCGACTTAAAAGAAAAAAGTCTTCTAAATTATTGTAGTTAAATTGTACACTGAAAAAAAATTTATTTGATTTAATTAACCGATCTCTTGACTATTATCAAATAAATATTTACTTGAATCAAATAATTTTTATTATTTAACGACGTTTATCTAGAGAAATACAAACTTTACAGAAAACCTAATCAATTAATATTTGAAAAATTGCAATTGTATTATTAATAGAATTTTCTGGAAGAAGAAATATTAATTAAAAAGAAATTTAAACCTACAAAATTTATTTGTTTATACAATTAGCTTATTCTCTTCAAAAAATAATTCTCTACGTCACCATAATAAAAAATTCTATCGAAAAGATATGACAAAAAAATTGGATTATGTCTAAAATATAAATAAAAAATAAATATAAAAATTTATAAATAATATTATAATAAATATAAAATTTATTTATTGTAAATTTCGTTTCTTTAAAAGTTGATATTTCTGCGTTTTTCTAGAAAACACTATTAATATGAATATTTTAATTATTTAAATGTTGAGAAATTATTTTTCTAGAGGTCAGACAAGTTTTATTTACTGGAAAAATTGCATTATTTAAGAATTAATGAAGGTACTTTTATAAAAAATTAAATTGACAAAAAACTTTTACAGAAATTAATTTGCAAAATTAAGTGAAATAAATTAAAAAACTACAACTTTTAAGCCAAAAAGAATTTTTTGTATTATCTTCATTAATTCTTAAATAATATATAATTTTCTCATTTTTTTACTGATTGCTATAGTAAAATTGTTATTGAATCATTTGGCTAATATTCGAATTATTCAAATTCAATTTACAATTTTCTTTATCTTCATTATAATTTATTTTGTTTGCAATATTTTTACGAATGTACAGAAAAAATTGTTTTTCTATAATAATATTGCATTATATTGATAATAATATTATTAAAAAACGGTTCTTAAACAATTTTATTGCATTATATTGTTATTGAATCATAATTTAATATTTAAATCTATATAAAAAAATATGCGGTTAGATGTAGGGAAATTGTAAATGAGTTAGCATAGATTTAAGCTAGTTTATAAAATTTGTATTGAAATTCAATTTACAAATTTTTTTTACCTTCCCAATAATTTATTATTTTGCGATAACTTTATAAAGGTCCAGAAAAAATTGTAATTTTATTGTAGGGGAGAGGGCCCTAAGGTGGTCACCCATCTTTTGAACGACTGTAGATTTCAAATGGAATTATATATAAAGGTCAATAATACGGCGTTTGAAACTTTATCTTATTACCTATAACTTCCTATCATTAAGTTTTTTTCATTTCATTAATAAAAAAAAAGTTGAAAATTCGACTTTTAAAAAAGTGGCCCCAAGGTGGTCACCATACAAAAATTCACTAAAAAAGTTTTAAAAAAATGTAAAAAACGTATTATTAAGTTGTTTATTTAATATTAATTGTTTTTTAGGATCACAGAAACATATTACCTATTTTTTTTGCACTTTGTCCTTTCGTCAAAAATGATACTTTTTGTGTATGTATTAGACAGGTAAAATTTTGAAAATAATTCTATTTCATTATTATTCATCATAAAACTTAAAAATTGATAAAATTCACATTCACAGTGATAAATGTTGATAAATATAACGTATAAACACATTTTCATAAAAAATCAAAAGCGACCACCTTGGGGCCAAAAAGTGTCCACCTTAGGGCCAAGAAACAATTTTTTAAACGTTAATGAAAAAATTTTTTAAAGCACAATATTAATTATATTTATTTGGAATATTATTGTACGATATATGAAGATAATTTATAACGATTTTTACTAATTTAAAATGGTTAATTTCGATGATTTTAACACGCTGAGAAAAAAATTTCTCGATCATTTAAAAACAGAAATTTTACGACGTTCACGTTACAACGAGACTCATACGACTATTTACCTCAAAACTTTACTAAAATCTTTGTCTTCTCAAATAATAACAATAACAAAAAAAAATTGGAAGATACTAACTAATATACAAAAATTTTCTTAGGGTGACCACCTTAGGGCCCTGACCACCTTGGGACCCTCTCCCCTATTATATTTCAATTTTATATTTTTATATAAAATATAGAATCAAATTTGTAAATCAGATTTAAACCATTTTGAAAATAACAATTCAATTCAATTTACAATTTCTTTTGTCGTCATTATAATTTATTTACAATAATTTTATGAATATCAGAAAAATTCGTATTCTATTGTATTGCATTGCATTGTTATTGTAACATAATTTTATCTTTATATGTATAAAATATCAAATTTTAAAAATTTTGTATAATAAGAAGTGTTCAATTTTTTTTATCTTTATTATAATTTCTTATTTATTTGCAATACCTTTGTAAAGATAGAGAAAAAAATTGTAATATCATATTGTTTTGTTCTTGTATTATAACAATTATCTTATAATTATATTGTTATTATATGTAAAATATAGGATAAAAGTTATAAATATTTTTGCAGAAAAATAATTTAAGGTCCCGATAAAAAAACGATTTATAATTTTTTTAGGCAATAAATAAAAAATAAAAAAGTTTTAAATCACATTTTTTGGAGGAAAATTCTCGTATAATCTTTATACAAATACAAAATATAGTTACAAGAAATTAAAATTTATTTAAAATCCTTTTTTTATTTAGAAGTCGAAAATTTGGAGTATTAAAGAATTTTTGGTAGAAAAAATCTAAATTCGTATTGAATTTTGTATAGATTTTAAATTATTAAAATTCAATTTATCATTCAATTTATTTTTATGACAAGTAAATAATTGTAATTCTGACAGTTCAACTGAAACGGAAGAAGCATGTAATTATTTAAATTTATTGAAATAAACGATCTTTTAATATAAATAAAACTTTATTCCCTCCTTTCAAATCGAAATATTTTCTAAAAATAAATAATAATTTTTTTATTTATTAAATTATTTATTAGTTATTGATTAATTTTTACATTTATTAACAATTTTCCGTGTATTTCAATAAATAAATAAATATTAAACAAGTTTTACAAAATATAAAGAAAGTTATAAAAGATTATTTAAAGAAATGTAAATGTTTTATTTTTTTTTATTATTATTTTTAGTTATAATATAATATACAAATTATCTGATAATTGACATTTCGAAAAATCAAAAAAGTTGACAAAAATTATTCAATAAGAAAATAATCAATTATTTACATTATTTCAAAATAACAGAACAAAAGACCAAAAAAAACAATTAATAAAGTATTGCGCCAAAATAAATTTTTAATCTTTTATCGACTAATAAATATATTAAAAAAATTATTAATTACTTTAGTAATTAATTTATGAATTTCAGTCCAATTTTTTTATTACAATACAACTCTTTCATTTAACTTTCCTAATAGAATTACATAACTTAATTTTATAAAATAACTTCTTTAAATGATTTTATAATAACGAATAAATGAATGCATCTATGTACAAATGAAAAAAATTTAAATCGTAAAATTTATACATTTTAAATGAATAAAAAAATCCTTAATGTTACAAAAAGAAGAAAACTTAAACAAAAAACTGAAGGTACATTTTAGTAAATAGTTATAAATAGGTTTTTGAGTATTTTGCAGATTATTTTTTTGAACAGCTTTTTTGAGAGCATTAATCTCATAAATGGACTTTTTCTTTTCTTTTTTTAAAAAAGGCAAACGGATAAGTAAAAAATGAGCGAAAAAAATTTACGTTCCCGTACTTTTAGAAGCTGCATTCTGCACGTGAATTACAGGATTTATTTGAATAATTCCTCTTGATGTTGTTTCATTTATTTTTGACGGTGAATTTTCAGTTATTAAAAATTGCTTCTCTTTTTCATTATTATCAATCCACAATGGAACTTCACATATTTTTAATGCTGGCAATTGTTTGAAGACTCTCACCTTCGATGTATTTCTCTCAATTTGAATGTCATTTTTTGGTAAAATTGTCGGATTCTTTGTCAATAATAATTTCTTCGCTGTCGATTGACTGTCCACTGATGTTGACGTTCGTTTCAATGATGTATCAATAATTGGCGAAATAATTTCAGGACTAGTTGTTATTATATTCACTCTCGATCCCACGACAATACTGTTTCCTTTAAACAGAAAATCAATTTCTTTATTGTTTTTTATATTTTATCTACATTTTATAATTCTATTTTTCTGTAATCTTTTCAATTTTAACTTTTACTCAATTTTGTTAATTTGCAATTTTAATTTTTATTAAATTTTGTAATTCGTAATTTCGACTTTTATTAAAATTGTTTAATTTTTACTCTTTTAAACATTTTTAAATCAAATTTGTTCATAATCTTTTTATTATAATTTACTGTCAAATATCTGGAATTTTTATTAAAAGATTTTGAAATGAAATAGACAAATTTTAAATCATAAAAAAAATTTTAAATACTATTTATTTATTGAGAAATTTTTATAGACATAGAATTTTAAAAATAAATTCTTGCCGTTATCTTGAGAGTGCTTTAAAAATAAATGTGTCAAATTTAATTTTTAATTTAAAACTTGAAACAATCTTTGAATATATTAAATGAATTTAGATAATTTTAACTTTCAATTGATTGAATTGGGAGTTTTATTAAAATTATAATAAATATTCAGAAAGACTAATTAAATTTTGAATCAAGGAAAAATTTTCAATAATTTATACTTAAATCAATTAAATCATTTATATTAAAAAAAGGTGAAAATTTACTTCTGTGCGGCATTTTTTACTAATTTAAAAATTTTATTTATTTTAATATTAAATTAATTCATTTTTGTTAAAAAAAACTGTGAAAATTTACCTCTGGTATTTTTTAATTAATTTAAGCTCAAAAATTTTGAAAACGAATTTTTTTAAATAATAAATTTTCCTTCAACGTTATTGCAGTTTTTAAAAATTAATATAAAAATAATTTTCAAAGGAAATAAAAAAATTATAAATCTAGTAATAAACTGATAAAATTTAAGATAAATTTTACCATAAAATTCGAACACTTCACAAATTTTTTACTCGTGGAATTTTATAAATTAAAGTATTCTGTTCTTTAAAAATAAATTGTACTTAATAAATTTGAATTTTTTCTTGTTTAAAATAAAATTTTTAATTAATAAACTTTTATTAAAAATTGTTCAAATATTTTGGGCTCATAGATAATTCAATACCAATTTTTTTTATTGATTCTCGAGTGAAATATTTCTCGAATTAATTAAAAAAATGTATTTTTCTAATTAAATTAAAAAACGTAAAGAGGTCAAAATTGTATTTTAGAAATTCTCTTATGACAAAAAAAGAAGAGAAGAAAAAAAATAGTGAAAATAAGAGGAAAATCATAAAGTCTTCTTTTTGATTCGAGTCATTAAAATTCACTGACGAAAATTAAATTTTTTACCTTTTTTCATTGCCTTTGTAATAGCGCAGTCTTTGTGAGCCAAGAGGAGAGTCTTCAACTTAGCGACCTCACTCCGTAAAGCGCTCACTTCCGCTTGTAATGAAGTATTCTTCTCGTTAACACTTTTTACCGTATCTTCTAATTGTTGAATCCACGCTTTTCTCTTGGCTCGTGACCGCATTGAACTCGCGCGATTTCTTTCCAGAAAATCTTGCTTCTTATCGTCAATATCCTTCCTTCTATTCTCCTTGGATGAATTTTTCTTTCCCTTCTCCGATTCTTTATCATTTCTCTCGTTTACAACTTCATTTGAACTTTTATTTAAAGCTTGCTTCAATTTCTAAAATTAAAAAAGCGAATTATAAAAAAAAGAACTTTATTCTTTCCTTACGTCAATGAAATTCGCAACGTCTGCGATTGAAAAGTAAATAAATGACTGAAAAAAAAATATTACTTACAAAAAGTCAAAATTGTTTCCGAAATTTGTATTAAAAACGATTGATCAAGAAATTAGAAATTAATAAATAAATTAAAACAAAATTAAAACAAAAAATGATAAAAATTGGCATAGAAAAATATTTTTCTTCTAAATAGTAAATAAATGTTTTATTAAAAAAAACAATAATAAAATAGTTTACAAAAAATGTTATTTTAAGTTATTCATCAAGAAATATTTTCATTCAGAAAAAAATTAACAAAAATTTGCACCAGAAAATGTTTTCTTTTAAACTATAAAAAAAAGTGTTCTTTTATGAAAATGAACAGTAAATAATTATTAATTATTCATGAAATTAATCAAAGCTTTTTCAGAAGAAAATTCATAAATATTTGTAATATAAAACATTTTTCGATGCAAATTTTTATGATTTTCTTTCTAGAAAAACTTACTGAAGTTTCTTAATTATTTTTTAATAAACATTTTTTAAAACAATTTTATTGCCTTTTTTGTCTAATATACTTTTATAATTATTTATAAGAAAAATAATCTTCGATGTAAATTTTAATGATTTTTTTTTCTGAAAAAGCTTCTTGTAGTTTCTTGATTAATTACTTTTAATTAGAAATTTTCCTAAACAATTTTATTGTTTTTTGTCTACAAAACATTTTTTTATGATTTATAAGAAAACATGTTTTTCGATCCAAATTTTTAACCAAAACAATAAAATGTAAACAATTTTATTGTCTTTTTGTCTAAAAATTTTTTTTTTCATAATTTATAGGAAAAAATATTGTTTGATACAAATTTTCGTTTTATTCTCCTTCACTATAATTACTATTTCTCGAACGTAAAAGATTGATTAATAATTCTCCAGTCAAAAAATAATATAAATTTGAATCAAAAAATAATTTTTCAAAATAGAATTTATCAAAACTTGGATCGAAAAATATTTTAAATATAAATTTTGCAAAAAGTAAGTTTTTCAGAACTTTCAATTAAAATTTTTCAAATAACTAACTTCTTCACACTGAAATAAAATTGTATTTAAATCAAATAATCGATTAGTTGTCTATTATAAAATAAATATTTACTTAAATCGAATAAATTTTTATTTGAACAAATGATTTCAGTATTTGAAACAAATACCATTTAATTGACTCCAATAAAAATTATTTGATTCATGTAAATATTTATTCGATAATAGACAATTTATCGGTTATTTGAATTAAACACATTTTTTTATAGCAGAACTTTCAATTCAAATATATGATTTAAAATTCAATTATTTATAAAAATTGTAAACTTTTATAAACTTCAATTATTTTTTGAATTTCTTAGTAAAATTATTCATTAAATAATTTTTAAGGAATAATTGTACGATAGTTCTTTAAGAGGTCAATTCCCTGACCAATTTTTCTTTCCCTTACTTTTCCCTGAATTGTGACAACCATATAAATTTTTCTAAATCGACCACTAAACTTGTGAATTTCACCAACGTCTCTCCTTTTGAAAAACAAAAATTTATTTAATTTATTTGAAAAAAGAAGAAATTTTACCATTTTTGCAGCCGACAATTTGGGCATTTGATGACTTTGTGAAACTTGATTGGTTCCTTTTAGAATGAGATCAGTACTTAGATTATGATTTTTATTTACACTATTTTGACAATCCGGTGCAGGAACTGCAGATAATTGTAATAATTTACCATCAGATGTTTTTAACAGCAACTGAATTTCATCGATGGATCTACAAAAATATTAAAATTCATTGTCATCGACAGATCTCAAGGAATATTAAAATAATTCAAACAAGTTGTTCATTTCATGACCATTTAGCTTCCTCAACATATAAAATATAAATTCGTGACGTAATTCACTTACAAAATTTTAGCAAACTCCATCTAAACATATGTATAAAATTAAATTTATCGCATAGAATCGGGATAGAATCCAATCAAACATATAAAATATTTACTAAAGTTAATAATATATTCATTACTTCATTTTAGGTACAAATCTCCATGAAAACCAAATTATGATTTTTCAAAAGCATAACAATCAAAGCATACATTCTTCTTAAGGAAATTTCTTTTTGATGCAGCAAGATATATTCATAAATTAAATGTAATTATATTGCGGTTTGTGAACTTTTGCAATTCGAAATGATTCGAATTTTCTGTTGTCGAGTCGATTAATGTTCGGTTCGACTCGATTAAATGCACACCTCTATTTCATATGCAAATTCCTTCTTTTTTTTTATGATAGAATAATCATTTAAAAATATTAATATTAAATAAATTATGAAAAAATACAAAATTTGAATTTTTTGTGAAAAAGAAAAATTTCTATTAATTTTATAAATTTTGATAAAAAATATACTTTGTATACATCAATCGATTCGTTTTCTTGTCAGGAATGTAATTTTGAGAATAATTAATTAAAATATTAACAAATAAAAAAATTATTTACAAAAATACAAAAAAAAATTTTTTTTGAATTTTAAAAAAATTGTAGGTATAAAAATTTTTTTTTAGATATTTTTGAAAATCCTTGTGTCAGATTTTAGGTATTAATAACTGCAATAAACCTGCAAAAATTCAAGACAATCCATCAAAATTTGCTTGAGATAATTTGTACACAATTTTTGTGACATACACACACACACACACATACATCTGGACATTTGCTCAGAATTGAATATACATATGTTATAGATGAAAATGAGTCCATATAACCTTCTTTTGAAAAATTGAAAATCGTCACGAATGCAAAGCTTCCTTATGAGGAAGCAAAAAGAAAGTAACAAAATTAAATTTCATCGATGGACCTATAAGAATATTAAAATTAATTTCCATCGATGAATCTCAAAGAATAATAAAATTCAAAAAAGAAAACAATAAAATTAAATTTCATCGATGAATCTACAAGAATATTAAAATTAATTTTCTTCATCGATGGATCACAAAGAATATTAAAATCCAAAATATAAAATAAAATAAAATTTCATCGCTGGATCTCAAAGAATATTAAAATTCAAAAAAGAAAATTAAATAAAATTTCGTTGCTGGATCTCAAAGAATATTAAAATTCAGAAAATAAAGTAAAATAAAATTTCAACGATGGATCTCAAAGAATATTAAAATTCAGAAAATAAAGTAAAATAAAATTTCAACGATGGATCTCAAAGAATATTAAAATTCAAAAAAGAAAATTAAATAAAATTTCATCGCTGGATCTCAAAGAATATTAAAATTCAGAAAATAAAATAACAAAATTGAATTTCATCGATGGATCTCAAAGAATATTAACCCTAGAAGGAGTAACCGGAGTGCCTGGACACCCCAAGCAAAATTTAAAGTATTCCCATGGCTTAACCAATAATTTTTTTACGCTCAAAACCCGTTGATAATTTAGTTTGAACCTCTGGTCTGGACACCCCAGTTACTCCCTAACGTTAGAAAAATTGTCAAGATAAGTAAATTCAAATTTAAAAAAAAAATCGTTTTTAATCAGTTAAAATCATCTGATAAAGTATAAATTGATAGGTTATGCATGAAAAAGTTGTATTTTATAAAAAAGAAACATTTTTATACAAAAATTCTATTTTTATGAAAAATAGACATTCTGTATTTGTAACAACTTATGAAATTTGAGTTAAGATTTATTAAAAATTTATGTGCTCTCTCTACAGTCAGAAATTAAATTCTAATACAGAAAAATGTAGTATATGACAGTCAAATTTAAATTATAAATTATATATTGTTAATAATATTTTAACATATATTAGAGATATTATGAATTGTTAATTAAAACTTTGATTAAATATTAATTTACAGAATCATTTCATAAGTTATTAATTTTAATGTTAATATATTCAGATATATTAAATTTGTAAAATTTTAAATTTATAACACCATTTTTAGTAAATATTAATTGTTTAAGACCATTTTATAGTTCATTTTTATGATTTTCACTATTCGTCAATTGTCTTTAATTTCTTTCACTTCAGATGTTCAAATAATTATGTTTTTTGGAAGTAATACAAAAACTGATTTTTTCCCCTAAAAAGTGTATCTATTTAACTTTAAAAATCTAAAATAGTTTTTAAATTAGTCAAATTTTTAAGAAACTACAACGTTTTTTGTGAAAAAAGTCAATTTTGCAATTTTTTGGTGTTTTTTTTTGGGTTTTTATGGTTTTTTTCAAAATTTTTTTAATTTATCAAAATATGAATAATAATATTGTCTTCCTTACTAAAAAACCAATCAATTCATTATATAATATTTTTTTTACGTCAAATAGAAACCTTATAAAACAAGTTTAAAGCGTGGGGAGTCGGGACACCCCAGTTACTCCTTAGAGGGTGAGTAAATTAACGTACTCCTTCTAGGGTTAAAATTCATAAAATAAAATAAAATAAAATTTCTTCGATTGATCTCAAAGAATATTTAAATTCAAAAAAGAAAATAACAAAATTGAATTTCATCGATGGATCTACAAGAAAATTAAAGTTCAAAAATATTAAAATAGAAAAAAATTATTTGAACTCACAATGGCGTGGGTGCCGGTGCAATAGGAATTTTTGGCACATACAACGCATCTGCCTCCTGAACAACAATTCTCTCTGTTGTTTGAATACTATTCTTACAAGTAGTTGTAATTTTCAATTTCTGTACTATCTCCTCATCTTGTGAATTTTTCTGATTCACTTCAGTACTACTGCAAATTTTAGTCTCTGAACTTTTTTCATTTGAAGTTTCAGTAATGGTTACAGTAGTCGGACAATCGACATTATGCGGAAATATGTGAGGAGTATTTAGAGAGTCATCTGTAATTGTCACCTAAAAAGAAAAAAAAAGAAACAAATTCAAAAATAGTGCCAAAATTCTTATTATTTTCAAATTTCATTTCTCACATACTTCTGATACTGAAATCGATCCAGTTTTCCCCTCGACAGCTCTGCGGAATGTTTCTTCAAAAGGATTTACATTCTGTAAATCTTGAAATAAACCCACTTCCTCACAATTTCTGATAAATCTCGTAGGTGTTGGCGTTTGATCAACTAAAACATTTTCAAAGACCATTAAATCAAAAATATAAAGATTCTTTTTAAACAAATTATTACTTGAAAAGTAGTTTATTTTCCAGGCTCAAAATCTAAAGTGTAAATTTTATTTCCAAAAAAATTAATACTCGAAAAGTATTATAGAAAAATTAAAACAACTTACCTATAAAACCATTGCATTTGCCATTCATTCCAAAATTCAGAATCATGTCATGTTTCTTCTTATGAACTGTTAAATGATCTTCATTGGTAAAACTCTACATAATACAAAAATAATTATTACAATTATTATAATTATTACAATTATCAATTGTAATTTTATACAAAAAGAGTTCTTTAAAAAAAACAAATCCTTTCTTACCATATTACATCCCGGCGAAGGACACGCAAAAGGTTTCTCCGAATCATTCATTGTAAAATTAAATTTTCAATCACCTTATAGAGAAAACAATAACAATCACCATAAACATTTAAAAAATCAAAACAGTTCCACTTTAAATAACACTTATGGTTTTACCACCAAATAATATGCTCCGAAACATATTGAATTTCATTTCGAAAAGTAAAATTTGTGCCTTATTATTGTTCGGTAATTTGTGCAAAAAGAAAATATTTGTTTAATTTAAATTTTCTGAAACTACATAACCTATTAACTACTATACAGGAATGATTCCCATAAAGTAGAATAAAGACAGTCAACTCAATTCTTAAAAATTTTCTTCTGCATTCAGTGCCACAAACACAAATTCTCGAAACTAAAATCTAGAAATCCTTTCAAATTTGAATTCTCCGCTATTTCAAAATGGATTCGTGATACTAAAAATATTTACCAATCAGAAATGAAGTTTAGATCACGAAACTGTGAGAATGCGCCTTTAGGGTCACTTTCTCTCTCTCCTCCGCTCTCCTCTCTTCGATTTGTTGCGCGTGAGTCATGAGCAAAGAGAGAAAAACGGTGGAGTGTCATTGAGGCCTCCAGGTTTGCAATGAAATTTTTCTTTTTTCACTCATTAAATACTTTTTTAAAAAATGATGCATGATTTCTTTTGGCAAAAATCTAATTTTATGGAGCATAAAAAAAAATTTCGGCAAAAGTAGATAATTTCATAGAAGTAGATAGAAATAATCCTCGCAAAGTTTTTCCTTATAAAGAATTTTTATCCATACCATTATTTGTTTACCATAACAAAGTAAAAGTACAAAAAAATAACGAAGTATCAACTTTATTTAATAAAATAAAATAAAATCTGTTATAAGTTAACTATCTTCATTACAAATTTTTAAAAATTAACCATTTTTAACAAATCTCAAATTAGTCATTCAATGCGCAAGCGCTGAATATTATAAAAGCAAATTTTACTAATTTTACTTGTAAATAAAAAATTCCAACAGCATTAATTTGTTAATGAAGAACAAAATAATTTATTTTTTAATTAAACAAATTTCGTTTAGTAACTATTTTTAATATTTTCTTTTAAGGAAATATTTACCAAGATTACCAACAACGTAAAATAGCCTATTTGATGCTCCTTTGACAAATGGATGTGTCATTGTTTTGTTAAAAAAAAAAAAAAAAAAAACAGTGAAACTGTGTTAAATACATTTGTTGTGATTTGTGAACGGTTAATAATCAACTTCTTACATCATTGTTTTATCGTATTTTTAAATCGTAAACAAAAATAGAAATGAAGAATTTGATAAGAAATTGAGAGCAGGAAAAAATATGAAGCTCTGTTGTGATTGAGAGAAACTCAGTACTATATTTCCATCATGGCTAGTGAACATTTAAGTGGAAATGGATATTCACCACTTCCGCAAAGTATCAGTAATTCTGATTCAGAAGATGAGGATGATCATCTTAATGGACATAATCATTCGATTCATAGAGATTCGGATGATATGACAATGACGGTATGTACTTCATTTGCATGTAATTATTCAAATTCATGTCTAACAAAATTTTTACACGAAGCAAATGTAGAATAAATTTTACTATTCTATAAATAGTAAAAGATACTCTATGTAATGGAAAATTTAAACTATCAGCAATACAGACATTTCTGTAAAGGAAAATTTTATTTTCGGAGTAAATTTCGCTATGTTCGAAGCTAATCATGATTATAAAGTTCTGAAGGTTTATTTTCTTTTGCTTGCAATTAAATTTTTATTACAATAACTTTTTGTCTCTGTTACAACAATTAATCAGGACTGTTATGATTTAAATCATGTTTTAAATTAGGGTTTAAATCATGTATTGAATTAGGATTCAAATCAAAGACATGTTTCCATATTAATCATGATTTAAATCAAATTTTGACTTAAAAATGGGTTTGTTAATCAACAATAACTTAAAGAACAAGGCTCGAACCAGTATTTCTTAAAATCGATTATTTTTAATAATTTTCGAAAAAGTTCTTTGATATACTTATTAGAAAATGAAAACTTCAAATAATTTTAAAAAAATCCGCAATTAAACTTTCTCAAATAAATTAATTTCACATTATTGTTAGATAAAAATATGAAAAATTCAGATTTTCAAAGATTTTAATTTGAAACCTTTTCAAAATTCAATTATTTCCAAAAATTCACGTTCAAATGCTTTTAATATTCAATTATAATCTAAAATTTTAACTACAATCTATTTTTAAATCAATTTTTATGAAAAAATTCTACTAGAATTCAATTATTTAAATACAAAAAAAAACAATTTATAGAATAATTGCATGTTTCTTAAAATTGAATTCTCATAAAGAATTTTAATAATAAATTTTTAAATAATTGAATTCTTTTGACGAATTTTAACAAAATTTTTAAGAATTTTAAATCGAAGAGTAATTTGATTAAAATAAATTGTATTAAAAATAATTGAAATTCTGCAATGAGTTTTATTATTTATCAAAATAATTTAATTCCTAAGAAGAATTTTATTATTTACCAAAATAATTGAATCCCTGTAAAAATTTTATTATTTATGAAAATAATTGAATGATTGCGAAGAAATTTATAAAAAAAATTTGTAAATAATGAAATTCCTGTGAAATTTGTATTATTTTTTGAAAATAATTAAAGGTCTGTGTAGAATTTTATTAAATTGTTTTTTAAATAATTGAATTCTTTTGGAAAATTTTATTATAATAGTAGACGCCTATTAAAAGTCATTGAATTGAGGAAAATTTTTGAAAATAATTGAAATTTTGCCAAGAATATTATTAAAATTTTTGAAAATAATTGAATTTCGGAGAAGAATTTAATTATGTCTAAAGATAATTGAAATTTTGACGAGAATTTTATTAAAATTTTTGAAAACAATTGAATTTTGCTTAGAAGAATTTTATTATTTGAAAAGATAATAAAATTGGAATTTTTATGAAAACTTTTTAAAAAAAATTAATTCTACAGAATTGTTATTTGAAAGAAAAGTATGAAAAATTTAGATTTTCCAAGATTTTAATTTGAAACCTTTTCGAAATTCAATTTTTTCTAAAAATTCATGCTCCAATGTTTTTAATATTCAATTATTATCTAAAATTTCAAAAAAAATTAATTTTTAAATCAGTTTTGATTAGAAAATTCTACGAGAATTCAATTATTTAAATAGAAAAATAAACAATTTATTGAATAATTGAATGTTTCTTAAAATTTATTTCCCATAAAGAATTTTATTAACAAGTTTTTAAATAATTGAATTTTTTGACGAATTTGAATAAAATTTTCAAGAATAATTACATTTTTCAAGGAATTCGAATAAAAATGTATTAAAAATAATTAAAATTCTGACATAAATTTTATTATTTATGAAAATAATTGAATTATGGCTAAGAAATTTATATAAAATTTGTAAATAATTGAATTTCTGTGAAATTTTTATTATTTATTAAAGATTTGTGTAGAATTTTATTAAATTTTTTTTAAATAATTGAATTCTTGTGAAAAATTTTATTAGAATAGTAGATACCTATTAAAAATCATTGAATTGAGGAAAATTTTTTAAAATAATTGAAATTTTGATAAGAATTTTATTAAAATTTTTGAAAATAATTGAATTTCGGAGAAGAATTTAATTATTTCTAAAGATAATTGAAATTTTGACGAGAATTTTAAAAAATTTTTGAACATAATTGAATTTTTGCGAAGAATTTTATTACTTTTGAAAATATTGAATTTCTATAATCATTTGTAATTTCTCTAAAATTATCCAAATTATATTGTACAATTTACGGACTTTACGGACTTTTTTAAAAAAAAACTGACTTTTACGGACTTTATAGGAAAAGTTACAGACTTTTACGGGATTTACGGACCTAGTTCGAGCCCTGCTAATATCTTTGTATTAGAATTTTTAACTCTACTTTTGTTCATTATCTTTCAAAACAGGAATCACTGCATAAAAATGGCCAATTTCATCCGCTCGACGAGACCCAAAATATGGGAAATCGAATAAGAAATGGAAGAAGTTCTCTAGGTTTTTGTAACGACAATATTCCAATAATGGTTTTGGATGGAGATGGTCACGATTTATGGAAGCGTCACGATATGTCGCCCGTGAGGCGAATTTGCCTAGTGTTTTCGATACTCCTCTGCATACTGACAACCCTCGTATTTTTGTACGTTTTGCCTTGTGATAATTCAAAAATTTGTTCCGAGGCCTTAGGACCGAAAACTTCCCTATCCTGGGAAAAATCTTTAGAAGGTATAGGTAAGTAAAAACCGAATTCACATTTTCCTTCAAATTCTTCATTAGTAGAATTTACTTTACTTTAGTATTCAGTTTACTAATAAAATTTACCGCTTTTAGAATTACAGGGTCCAATTTCAGTACTCACTGGTAGACCATCAAATCTAATTTTTCTCCTACGTGGACAGAAATATGGAAATTTAAATTCACAAGCAGCAGGTTTGAGAACCGATGGCGGTGGAGTTTTATCAATGGAAGGAACCACAGGCGTTCCTTTATGGTGGACATATCCAAAAGGTCCTCCAACCAACATAAATTGCCTCTTTCTGGATGCAAAGGATTCAAAAAAATTAAATTGCATCGTAGTCGGAGAACAGGGACTTTTGGAAAATATTGATCCAATCACCGGATATATTCGATGGATATCGACAAATCACACCGATTCAAATTTACCCTTACTTCTGCCGGATGTTAATTCGGATAAAGTCAGCGATCTCCTCACCGTTCAATTTGGCATCGAACCGAAAATAAAATTGATCATTATTTCCGGTGATACTGGAAAAACACTGAAAAGCTATCCAATCACAAACTGTGAATCGGTAAAACTTCATAGACTAACTTCGAATTTCACAGTTCAGTATTTTTGTAAATCATCAAATAACCAGGGTAAGTAAATCGAATTTTAAGCAACAATTTATCTTAATCTTCTCTCAAAATCCAAGGATTTTAATTCCAAATTAGTGAAAAGTCCTTCACTGATTTAAATAAGTCCAGGGCTCGAACTAGGTCAGTAAATCTCGTAAGGGTTCGTAAAAGTCAGTTTTTTTAAAAAAAAGGTTCGAAGTCTGTAATTTAATTAAGAAAAGACGAAAAGTTCGTAAATTATATGATATAATTTACAGTATTTTAGAAAAATTACAAATGAATGCAGAAATTTAATTATTTTCAAAAATAATCAAATTCTTTACAAAAATTCAATTGTGTTCAAAATTTTTTAAAAATACTCGTCAAAACTTCAATTATCTTTATAACTAATAAAATTCCTTTCCGAAATTCAATTATATTCAATATTTACTATTTTAATAACATTTTCAAAAAAAATTCACTTATTTAAAAAAAATTTGATAAAATTCTACACAAACCTTTAATTATTTTCATAAAATAATAAAAATTTCACAGGAATCCAATTATTTTTGTAAATATTAAAATTCTTTTTAGGAATTTAATTCTTTTTATAAATAATAAAACTCATTGCAGAATTTTAATTATTTTTAATACAATTTTAATGGAATTCCTCGAAAAAATGTAATTATTCTTAAAAATTTTATTAAAATTCGTCAAAAGAATTCAAATATTTAAAAATTTATTGATACAATTCTTTATGAGAATTCAATTTTAAGAATCATTCAATTATTCAATAAATTGTTTTTTTTGTATTTAAATAATTGAATTCAAGTAGAATTTTCTCATAAAAATAGATTTAAAATTGGATTTCAGTTAAAATTTTAGATATTATAATTGAATATTAAAAGCATTAGAGCTTAAATTTTTAGAAATATTTAAATTATGTAAAGGTTTCAAATTAAAATTTTGAAAATCTGAATTTTTTGTACTTTTCTTTCAACTAACAATATTGTGGAATTAATTTTTTTGAGAAAGTTTAATTGCGGATTTTTTAAAAAAATTATTTGAAGTTTTTATTTTCTAATATATATTTAATAAAAAAATTTACGAAGAATTGAAATTTTGTAAAATTGAATTGTAAACAAATGAATTTAAAAATTCTTAAAAAACTTTTTCAAAAATTATTAAATATAATGCATTTATAAGAATTTTAGTTAAAAACACGAAAAAAAATTTTAATTTTGGAAAAGTTACAAATTATTGCAGAAATTCAATTATTTTCAAGAGTAATAATATTCTTTGCAAAAATGAAATATTGTTCAAAAATAATAATTTTTTTTACAGAGATTCAATTATTTTCATGAATAATAAAACTCATACAATTTCAATTATTTTTAATACAATTTTAATAGAATTTCTCGAAAAATGTAATTATTCTTGAAAATTTTATTGAAAGAAATTCAAGAAAATTCGAAAATTCAAGAAATTCAATTATTTAAAAATTTGTTTATAAAATTCTTTATGGGAAGTAAATTTTAAGAAACATTCAATTATTTAATAAATTATTTATTTTCCTATTTAAATAATTGAATTCTAGTAGAATTTTCTAATATAAAAAATGATTTAAAAATGAATTTCAGTTAAAATTTAAGATAATAATTGAATATTAAAAGCAATATTGCGTAAATTTTTAGAAATAATTAAATTTTGAAATTAATTTTTTTGAAAAAGTTTAATTGAATTTTTTTATATTATTTTAAAATTTATTTTTTCTAATATTTATTTAATTCAAGAATTTACCAATAATTGAAATTTTGTAAAATTGAATATTGTAAACAAATGGGTTTGAAAATTGTTAAAGAACTTTTTCAAAAATTAGTAAAAATAACCGGTTCATTTTTGGTCCGTAAAGTACGTTTTTTTAAATACTTTCACTGGTTCGAGCCCTGAAATAATTAGAAATTTCTTCTGATTCGAATTACTAGACGAGTCTTTTTAAATTTAGAGATTAAATTTTAATTCCAATTCCAGAAACATTGGAGTCAATTGCCCTGGACGAATTACTCTCAAATTTGTCATACGGACAAAGAAAGTACGAACCGGTGTCCAATTATTCCTTCACTAATAATGCGGCCTTAGGAGAAATTCCAAACATTTGGAATTTAAGTCCTTTCTATCGGCTCTATGTAAAAAATCAAGGAGAATGTCCAAGTGAAAAATGTCAAGTCAACGTGACAATTACCGTTCATAAACAGAACGATACACGAATAATTTGGAGTCATTTTGGTTCCGGTTCATATGCATCATTACCAACAGTTCTAAATAAAACGGATGAACCATTAAAATCAACAGGATGTGTTTTGAAATTTTGGCATTGGTCAACGTCAAATGAAAAGGAAGCTGAAGACGAATTTGGTCTCGTGAAACGAACCATAACCGAGAGAGTATTAATTATTCTAATGAGTGGTTCTGATTTTCGTGCATTTAATGCTAGTCAAAGTGATATAATTCAATTGTGCAAGGGAGATGTCTGTCAACCAAATCTTCAATCACAAATACAGTCAATGGCAGTTGTCGATCTTGACAACGATGGTTATTCTGAATTAATAAGCTATCGATCGTCTTACGAAGGATTAAATTCAGATATTTTATCATCAAAAGTACAAGTAGTCAAACTTGACGCTGTTCTTTAATAATTATTATTATTAAAAGTAAAGAAAAGCGGGTCAAAAAACAAGAGGTAAGTTAAAGGAGAAAATGGACAAATTTTCCCAATTTAACAGAGGCTATAAAAATATCGCGACGATATAATAACCAAAAATCGCTTAGTCATTGTACTTATAAAGATATTATTTTCTACACCTTGAAATAAATTTTCAATTTCAAAATAATACATATAACAGGGTTGTCACAGATCAGGGAAATTAGAGAAATTTCAGGGAATTTTATTAAATGTACTAAACAAAAAATGAGATTTCTAGAATTTTCACAAAACTTCTGGTTTTTCGTGTCCCAAAAACTAATACTAATACCAAACAACTAATTAAAAATTTATTTTAAAAATAAAATTTACAAATTGAGTGAAATTTTTTTTAATTAAATTGAAAACAATTAAATTTTAAGGAGATTTAGAATTTAGAATTCTATTTAAAAATTAAAGTTGCGAAAAATTTTGTTTCAAATTCTAAAAAATTATGTTTTTAAAATCTTTCAGTTCAATTTTCCAAAGATAATTAATTTTTTTAAACAAACAATTGAAATTTCCTAAAATTCTAATTAAAATAATTGACAATTCACAAAATTTTACTAATCATAATTGAAATTTTTTACAATTGAATTATAAAGAATTGCAATTTCTTAAAAATTTTATTAATCAGTTTATTTTAAAAAGATTTTAAAAAATTTAAATTCTTTTCGAAAATTGAAGTTTTGAATAATGTTATTGAAAATTCTGAAAAATTGTGTTTGTCAAATCTTTCAGTTCAATTTTTCAAAGATAATTAAATTGTATTAAAAATAGTTTACACTTCCTAAAATTTTTATTAATCAGTTAATTTGAAATTTTAAATTCTTTTGAAAAATTGAAGTTTTGAATAATTAAAAAAAAAGAATTTTTGTATTGAAATTTTTAAAGATAATCGAGGCAAGTTGATGGCAGTAATTAATTTACTTTTAAAAATATTAGACGCCCTTAAAGTTTTAAAATAAATTTTTGCTTTTAAAAATTATCCCTTTGTATAATAAAACTCTTCTTGATTTTTTTTTTCATTTCTTTTTGTAAAAATCAAAGAAAAAGTCAAAATTCTGTATGGAAATTAGACAAAATCAAAAAGTTAAGGGATAAAAATTAAATGAAATTTAAATTTTGTGGCAACTCTGTACAAGTACTTACATATTCGCATCACTTTTTAAATACGCATCGAATTAATCAAAAAGAAATTGTTTTAAACTGTTAAATCTATATAACAAAAAATTGCAGTGTGTTTTTAACTGTTTACAAAATGTTGTTATTTTTAAACATAAAAAACAATAGTTTTATTTTAAGTTTCCAAAGATACTTAAGAATTTTAATAATAAGTATTAACATTGACATGTATTAAAAATTATAATTCAAATTTCATGTACTTCATAGAAAAATTTACAAAATCGTAAATTTCTCTTCTATTTATTTTAAATTAAATTTACATTATTTATTAACTCTTTTGTGATATGAAAAATAACGCACTGAATATTAAAAACAATTTTAATATTTAGTGTAAAAATGTTTGTTTGTTAAATTAAAAAGAAAAATTGTGACATTTTATTAAAACAATGTATATCTATACGATTGAAAACAAAAAAAAATAAATAAATACACTTTTTTTTAAAAAAAGAAGATATTTTGTTCTATTTCAACTACTTTTGTTTATTTAAAATCACGTAAATTTAAGTAAAAAAAATACGTAATAATCACAATAATTAATTAAATTGTAAAAAAATATATAATTTAAATTTGAATTCAAGTAATTTTATTTTAACAATTTTTCTCTATTCAAAATCACATAATTTTAAATACAAAAAAATTTATTATAATAAAATAAAGTAGCAAAAATTTTATAATTTAAATGCAATCGATTGAGAAAGACTAGGAAAATTTTTGAAAAAATCTCGAATGTAATTTTTGCAAATGTAAAATTATGTACGGCAATTGTTGTCAATTGTGATAAAAAAAACGAAAATAAATAAATAAACAAACTGACCAATGAAATTGTAGTATCCTAAACACACCTCCGTCATCGACCAATGAAATTTCGAGAATAGAACATCCTGAATATTAATCTGTCTGACGGTGACGACCAAGAAAGTGTTTTCAGTCAAGTACACACAATTCTGTTTTTAAGGGGTCTAAATAATTATTTGTCTTGATAAATTTTCCGAACAATACAAAATTGTAAAAATCTTATTGTTAAATGTGTCTTAATTAATTTTTTTGATATAAACAATTTTTATTAAAAAATGACAATTTCTCAAAATTGTTCGTTCTATTCTGGTTATTAATATTATTCAGTCTTTAATAATTTTTCAATTTTATTCTATTTCCAAAATAAAATTTAATTAATTTTAAATGAGATCGATTGACAGAGACTAAACAATTTTTTGAAAAATTCTCGAATGTTATTTTTGCAATTGTAAAATTAGGAACGTCAATTGTTTGTTAATAGTTAATTTTTATTGATTCTTTATTTACTTATTGATTTTTATTAATTTTTTATTAATATTACATTCTAATAATAATATAATTAGTAAAAATAATAATAATAGTAATAAAATATTAAAATAATAATATTCATATAGTATTATTTATTATATCTTTCTAATATTAATTTTGTTAATTTTTATCAATTTAATTTATTAATCAATTAAAAATTTTATTGTTACACTTATTCATAGCCGAAAGGCACAAAGTAGGTATAAGAAATAATAATCTTAATTTTATACGGAGCTAATTTTTACCAATAAAACAAAAAATTGCTAACAAAAAAATTTTGAAAACATATATATAATATAAACTTAGAGTAAGAAAATAAGTAAAAATAATGTATAAAATAAGAAAACTAAAAAAAGAAATATACAAAAATTACAGTTTAATAATTAAATAAAATAGAAAAATATTTTCAATTACTTTCAATTAGTAAAAATTAAAAGTGAACAATTATAATTATTCACTCTGTTATGTAACTGTTTAGTAATAATTATTACTAAAATATTAAACAAAAATTCCCTTTCCAGTAGATTAGGGAAAACTAATATAAATTTAAAAAAAATTTTTTTGTTAAAAAAGTAATTTTTTATGATATTATAAAAATATCAAAAAGTAATAAAAAAAATAATTTCGCTAGAAAAGAAGTGACCTCAAAATTTGAGGGGCACATATTCGTCCCTGAACGCACCCCACTTTTAAATTGGTTCCATTTCCATGACAGCCAATAAAATATAGCGTTGAGTGCTTTAGGCCAGTCAACAAGAAGACCGGTGATCTTGTTGGAGTCAAGGAAATCGAAGCAATAGACACAATTTATTCAAAGAAAAATCCAACAACAGTTTACCAAAAAAATTATCAAACTTCATTAATCATCCTCTTATATTTCGGGTAAAATTCCAATTCACCTATAATAAAATCATCATATTTTCTCTTAGAACTGTGAATTATTTTTTCTCTAAAAATTAGTATAAATTTTCGAATACGGGGTTGTATTTTCCAACCATAAACGTAACCTTCTACTTTCTTTTTTTTTCTATTGTCTCTATTTCTCTCTAGAAGGGGAAAAGTGAAAATTTTTCTTTCGGAGCATCTTTGAAAAATTGTCGTTGTCTAATTTATTGACGTCGAAAAGAAGGAATGGCGTTTTTAAGAACAGTATCGAAGCAATGTGCCGGTAAAAAATTGGATAAATATCTCATGGCATTGCCTCCCGGTTTATTTGAGAGCGTGGCAAGGCCGTCTGTGAATATAATGCAGTTATGCGTTAAAGGATGTGCCACAAGTTCATCTACAGCTGGAGCTGAGGTAAAACCTGTTCCACGACAAATCGACCCTTTGGATCTAAGGTTTAATGATCCCGTGGCATCATTCAAGAGTAAAACAATGACTGAATTAATAAGAGCATATGTAGTTTATCAACTTTGTTCCATCGAGTACTTGGTCGAGAACAATTCCAAGGTGAGTTTCCAGGAAGGAATTATAATTATTCAAATTTCAAGTTTTCGAAGAGAGCACGAGGAGAAGTGATGCTTGATTCGAGAAATACGTCTATTTTTGGAGTAGAAAATTAAAATATGATTTAATGTCTACTCAATTAGGTAACAAAAATTTAAAATTTAGACTCGAATACTTGAAAACTAAAATAATAATTTTACGGCAAAAATAAATTTTTTGGTCGATTGAATCGAACTGAATTTGCTATTTTTTTTGGCAAATAGTTTGTTAACGTTAAAAAATTGTTAATAACTGTTAAGTGCAGTGATACAGTAGTATACTATGTACACATGGCACGTGTTAATTTTAGAACTCAATCCACACATCTTGTGGGTTATGTAAAAAATTACAGTAGACCTTTTTTTCGGAGTATTTTTCATTTGGGGAATAAAAACGAAAATCTTGTATTTTTACTTTAATTTCGAAAATCATCTTAATAATTAACAATGTCATATTTTCCGGATTATGTAAAAGAAACTACAGTCGAAAAATACTCCTAAAAAAATTCGAACTATTTTTCACTTGGCGAATAAAAATAAAAATCTTGTATTTTTACTTCAATTAAAAAAATCATTTTCTTAAAATTAACAACAATGTCATATTTTCTGGGTTATATAAAATAACCACATTCGACCTTTTTTCCAAAGTATTTTTCATTTCACAACTAAAAATGAAATCCTTAAAAAAAAAATTAGCAAAAGTCAATTTTCGACCAAAACTAAAAATTAAAACTATGTTTACTCTAATTAAAATCATCTTTATACAAAAATAACGATAAACATCCCAATTTGTGGGTAATTATGTAAAATAAAAGTTTACAGTAAATTTTCTTTTCGGAGTATTTTCATCTTGATAAAAATGAAACAATTCTTCGAAAAAGTTTTTAAAAAACTGTTTTTTAATTAAACAATCACTTTTTCAAAAATAACATCAATAAAGTTTTGTAAAGTGTATAATATCAAATATTCTCTTTGGCAATTCACCTAATTGCAGAAAAACAAGTATTAACAATTTTAATCGCAGACGAAAGGATAAATTATTGTCGGTTTGAAAGAAAAGAATTGTTTCCTCCCAACAATTAAATTAACAATAGAAATCGAAAATTAACATCTTTGACATAATGATGCTAAACGAAATTAAACATTGCAAAATTTTGCAAATTAAACCACGAAAGGAATAGTTCATTAAATTCCTAATAATTTAAAATCTTTCTGTTTATTTTCAAAATAATTTTATATAAATTTATTTATTTAATTATTTAGTTCATATTAAACGGTTTTTCAAAATTTACCCTTTATTAAAGAAAATAAAATTGAAAACTTTATTACATTTTAATTTAAAATATTTTCAATTAATTCATTAAAGTATGAATTTAATTTAATTCTATATCTATTTCAGTATTTATGTTACGTAATTATTCGTAATGCTTTATTAACATTACAGACTCTCAGATATTGTTGCTTGAAATTCAACTAATAAAGTTTCATGTATCATTTATAGAAGGTGTACATTGAGTGCTGAAATAATACGATTGATCTGTGGCTATTAAAAAACATTAAACCGTATAATTGATAGATTCGTTCTGAAATGGAAGAAAACTATTGTGATTTATCTGTTGTTTTTCCATGATGGAATTTTTACTTTAAAAACACAATTTCATATCATTTTTTCTTTTTTTACAATTTCATAAATTATTAATTAAAAAATAATTAAATTTTTTGTTAATAAAAAAAAATGCAACTCCAGGAAATATGTTAATGGTATCGGAGCACTCTGACCGAATTATTTAAAACATTAAAAATTAATTAAAAAGAAATTTGTGTAAAGTTTCAGAAAGTTAACTTTTTGAACCAAAACAATTTTGTTTATTAATAAGATACAACAATTGCTCATATCTTTTATAAAATTAAAGATAATCAAATTTTGTTTTTTGCATTTAACTCAGAAAATAATACTCTTCAAATAATTTATAAACATGTTCACAATATTTTGTTAATTTACAAAGTTATTTCTGAAAGTTTATACGAATATAAACATAATACATAATACCATTGTTATTCAATTTTATTAGTTAAAAATTCATTTATTTATTTTTCCAACTAATTTTAGATCATAATTTTTATAAAAAATAAAAAATATAAAAAAATTATGATATGAAAACTAATTTCATAGTTAGAAAAAAAAACAAATTTGTAACCCTGTTATAAACAAATAAATTTAAAATAAAAAAATTGAATAATGATGATATTTTTTTAGAATTTTCGGCCTAAAAATAAAGTTATTAAAAAAAATATACTTCGAAACTAGTAAAAATCAATTTTTCATTCGGAAATTTGTTTGTGGCTGCAAAAACATATTTTCTATAAAATTACGTATGGATTTCAAAATCTACTAATTTTTAGGAAAAATAAAAATTCAAAAAGGGGATTTTCTAAATGATTTTATTTTATGACCATTGAATTCCTCTTAAAAAATTGCTAAAAAAAGCAATTTTATGGAATATTTAAATTACTTTTCTTGATATACCTAGTTGAAAATATTGATGTACCCTACCCTAAAAAATATATATAGAAAAAATAATTTAAATTTAAATTCACATAATCAAATTCTTTACATTATCAATTAAGTAACCCAAATAAAAAATATTAGTTAAGAAAAAATGACATTTGCGATTAAAAAATTTACTTGACTTTTTTTATATCATTTTTCTTTATGAAATCCTAATTTTCAAACAGAGTTTCATTATTATCTATTTTTGACCATTTCAATAAAGAAAGAAGAAAAAAGAACAAAAACAAACTAAAAACCTACATTAAAAGAGCAACTGAATATAAAAAAACTTACATAATTTAAAATTCCTAATCAAATCCTCTTCATTGTCAAGGACCCGAAAACGAATGATTCATTGATCAAGAAGTTTTAACTCTTACGACATAGCAGATAATTTTTTCTTTTTATTGATTATTCAAATCTTACTCGTGTTCACACGCTGGATCATTGCGCCATGCTTCTCTCACAGCACTTGATTCTATTTTGATGCAATTTAATTTGTGTTTGTTTATTTGATGAAATTTAACCCGTTTTAATAATTACTTTTGAAGCAAATGTTAAACTGAATTAATTATTTTTCTAAATTAAATTCAAGTTTCATTTAATTCTATAAAATTGTAAATTTTCTACAATTTTATTTCTCTTTTGGTTTGGATTTAAATTTTACCTACTTTTTATTTTAAGTTACCTATAAATGTTACATCTCTGAAAAATAAAAAATTTGTAAAGTTATGTAACAAGTAAATTCTGATTTTATCGTGCGTAAGTTGCTTTTTACATTAATATTAGTTTCCTCAGACAGTCCCCAGACGACGATTCTTTCCATAAATATTATACTTATGACTTAAAACGTCACTCTCATTCACATGTACTAGTATTTTAAGCAAATATTTTATGCAAATCATATTTTTGTACAGTGATAATGGTCATGTAGATTTATAGTTTAAAGGAGAATTTTAAATTTTTTAATATTAGAATAAAGGGGAAAAATTTAGAAATTAAAAAGAGTATAAGTTTAAAAGAAAAGAATAAAAAAAATTATAAATTAAAAGAAAAGAATAAAAGAAATTAATAGTTTATATGGAAACAAATAAAAAAAAATCTTGATATTTTACTCTACACTTTTTTTTAAATTTAATTTCACATTTTATTTTTTACATAAAATATAAAAAATAAATTCTTTACTAACGATATTCCTTTCATTTTTATAACATTTTTTTCCTTTTTTGTGAATAAGATAGTGAATCAGCGTCAATTGTATGTAGTCGAATGAACAGTGCGTCTACACAGTGTTAATTCGTTAATTATTATATTGTTAGTCTCTGAATCTAGTTATTTCATTGGCGGTAAAGAATCACTTGCGTTTTATTTAACAACCTTCCGAGACCCGTAATCAAAATTGTATCACGTTTCACTGAGAAATTGCAAAACGTAATATGATATTTGAACTGGTAGTTTCATTTTTTTCTATAGATGTACATACATACATTCTTTTTTTAATTTAATATAATAATTATAATAAAAACTAAAAAAAATCAAAATATACAAAAATTAAATAAAATTCAAGATAATATAAATATAACAATAAAATATACTATAAATTATAAATAATTTATAGTAATTAATTATACTAAAATTGCAATTGATAATTTATTTAAAAAAATTATTTCTGATAAGTAACAATTTACTTCAACGAATTATTTATTTCAAATAATAATTTGCTTAAACAGATTATTTATATCAATTGAAAATTCATCTACGAACGATTTATGTTTTCAGTTATTAATTAAAACAACCAAATTATATTTTCAATTAATAATTCCTACCAGCAGATTATTTTTTCAATTAATTTGTACAAACAAAATATCTTTTCAATCAATAATTCGTAAACAAGCCATTTATTTACTTGAATTAATAATTTCTACAGGTTATTTAAATTAATAATTTCTTTAAATAAATTATTCTTTACTTTTTACAATTTGTGTTAATTAACCTTCGCGCTTCTAAAGATTTTTGTATACGCGGGGTAACCTCTGTGTTTTTTTTATTTATTTATTGCAAAAAAGATTTAAATCTTTCAAGACTTTTACATATATAAAGCTCTAAAATTGTCGTAAGCAAAGAATTGATAAAAATTACTTTTTACAATCAACAATTTATTTAAACAAATTATTCCTTATTTTTAATAATTTATGTTAATTTTTTTAATTTAAACAAATTATTTGCTTTGATGAATAATTTAGAAAAATTTCTGTTTACAATTAACAGTTTATTTAAACAAATTATTTCTTATTTTTAATAATTTGTGTTAATTAATTAAATTTAAACAAATTATTTACTTTGATTAATAATTTTGTAAAATCTACTGTTTACAATCAACAATTTATTTACTTTGAATAATAATTTGGTAAAAATTAGTTTTTTCAATCAATAATTTATTTAAACAAATTATTCATTTGAAAATATGGTAAAAATTACTTTTTTCAATTAACAATTCATTGAAGCAAATTATTCTTTACCATTAAAATAGTAATTCGCGCGTTAAAGCGCGCGGCTAACTTTTTCGGATAAAATTAGCAATTTTAAAAATAATAGAATTTAAAAATTTTTAATTCAAATTTTTGTTGAAAACACTAAAAAAGTCCAATTTTGGAAAAATGACAAATAATTGCAGAAATTCAATTATTTTCAAGAGTGATAAAATTCTTCTCATAAAATTCAATTATCTTTCAAATTTAAAAAAAAAATTCTCGTCAAAATCCCAATTATCTTTATAAATAACAAAATTCTTCCCCAAATTTCAATTATTTTCAAATCAATTTCAAATTCCCAAAAATAGTAAGCAAACATTTAATTATTTTCATAAATAATAAAAATTTCTCAAGAATTTAATTATTTACTAATTTTTTATAAATTCTTTCGCAATAATTCAATTATTTTTATAAATAATAAACATTTTTTTAAGGAATTCAATTATTTTCATAAAAAATAATGAAAAATTGTAGAAAATAACAATTGATTTGAAATGATGAAAATAATTTTGAAAAAGTTACTGTAATAATATTCTTATAATATAAAACAATGATTTTATCACTCGGTCATCTTTAATTATTATAAAACATGAAGAAATCGATCACTCCGAGTCTCCGACTCGGAGCAATCGCTATCTTCATGTTTTATAAAAATATTCTTATAAGTTATTGAATTTGAAAAATTTTGAAATTCTTAATTCCTATAAAAAATAATATTGATTAAATATTTATTTAAAAAGAAGTAATTGATGTTTTCGAATAATTTTACAATTAACCCCTTAACTGTTTGAGGAAAATACAACATGATTGTCCCAAAATGCCCAGCGGAATCTGATACTTTTTCAAATAGTATAATATATTTAAATTATAACTAATTATTCAATTATTTTCTAAAATATCATTAATGACCCTTATAATTTCTTATAATATGACGCTAGTATTGATATAAAGAAAAATATCTATCAATTTATATACAAATTATATTTATTTTGAGTGATAGTGATCACGACCCACGGGTGGGTCGGAAACAGTTATGGCCATACTTTTTCACGACCCACCCGTGGGTCGGAAACAGGCAACGGGTTAAAGAAATTCATAAATAAATGTAACAGAACATTTTTTTCAATAAAATTTTTACCTTTATTTTCAAAAAATTTTCAATTTCATTTTCAATTAAAATTTGCAATTGACAAATAGAATCGAATATAATTTAAATTATTAATTTTATTTTCATTTTCACTATTATGATTATTATGTATATTATTAATCTTATTGCAGTTATTATTTTATCGTTTTAGATGAAAGTTACGTAAAGTGAAGCATTACAGTCTCGTGAAATTTGACGGTAGTAAATTTTTGTACCCTCAGCACCTGTTGTTAAATATCTGGCGCGTGTAACTGTTTACATTTTATATTATACGACGATATCGCAAACTCGCCTCAGTTGATTTTCCACTTTCGGTTATCTTCTTCTTTTCTCAACACAACGTCTAAGCTGAGACGTTAACATTATTTATATTTAGAGAGTCATGGCTGTAAATCACAATTGTGAATGGCTGTCATGATATTCATAGGCTTCAAAACGAACATACTTGAAAGCTACTTAAATTCCACTTGATCTTGAACTTACTACTTTTACCTCGACCTGAGACAAATCAAATTATTATTAAATCGATTCACCACGTCTCCATCTTATTTATAAACATTCTTATCCAATTTAACGAAAAAGAAAATTATTTCTATCTCACAATATTATATTGTATTAATTATTTTTTGTATTTGTTTTATTTTTTACATTTACTGCAAAATAATTTCTTGATTCAAATAAACGATTAGTTGTCTTCTATCAAATAAATATTTATTTCTGTCAAAAATTTTTGCTTTAAGTCAATTAAATGGAATTTGTATGAAATAATTTTTTATTTTAGTCAATTAAATTGTATTTTTTCAATTACTTAAATTATTGTTTGAAGTACAATTTAATTGATATAGAGAAAAATTATTTGGTTCAAATAAATATTTATTTAATAATAGGTCAGCAATCGTTTATTTGAATCATATAAAATGTTTTTTCAGTGTTATATATTTTTATTTAATTTAATTTAATTTAAGTTGAATTTTCTTTAAATAATTGAATTAATAATTTTCACTTTTATCAATTTAAATAATATCTTTATGTTTATTTAAATAAAACAAAATTTTGTAATTGTAAATCATTTTTCAAAAGAGTCTTCAACGACTAAAATTTTGTAATGACTCACAAAAGTTTGAAAGCTACAAATAAAATTTTGTTGTTATTTAAAGAAAAATAAAATTTATGAATCATGTCAAATAAGAATCGTTTGAAAAACTTGACAATTGGAATTTTTTTTTAAATACAAATTTTATACAACACGCTAGAGTAGTTTTATTTAATTTTTGTCAACTGTTTCTTGAAAATGTTTGAACAATTTGCCAAAAAAGCAGACGAACGTTTAAATTTAAAGTTAATGCGCCGCACGTCACAGTATAAGATGATTTTATCTCGGTTTATATTTAACAGAGATCTTGAAATTTAACTTATTTTGTCCAAAGAAATTAGACAAAAAGATTTATCAACATTATTTCCTTTTTTTATGTCCCTAAAGTTACGAATGTACAAATAAATTTATATTTTTTTGACATTTTATTTATTTCATTTTTATTTTAATTTTTTCATTTTCAACTTTATTACATAAAATATTGTTTTTGTAATTTTTATAATTAAAAAATTAAATTTTTAACTAAATAAAAAATTATTCAAAAATTTATTTCAATTACAATAATTTCATTTCTTTAGTAATTTTTTAAAATATTAGAAAAGAAAAAATATTTGATTCATTTGAATGTTTCAAAACTTTAATAAGGAAACTTTTTTTGAAACGAAAATTTATTTTTCCGATAAAAAAAAATTTTTATCGAAATTATGATAAATACACAGACTTACATAATTATTTAGGAAATGTAAATTAAAAATTAAAAAAGCGAAAATTCACTAATTAAAATGTATCAGTTGTGATTTTTAAAAAATGCAGATTCTTGATTCTACGTTTCTAATTTTTATTTCGCCATGACAATTTTAATTATTATTTTAAATAAAACAGATAATTAATATTATCATGTTAACTGATATTTCACATTATTGTTAAATAATAACTAATATTTATGTCTCTAAAGTTCTGAACATTCAAATGAATGAAATTTATTTATTTCTTTTTCAAATTTTATTGCAAAAATATTGTGTCAAATATTAAAAAAAGAAATTATCTAATTGTTTTATTTTGGTTTTGCTTTTTTGAAAATATTTACATTCCAAAAAATCTTGTTTATTTCAACCTTCAGAACCTGTGGATCACAAATATTTTAGTTAAATATAATAATTAATATTATAATAAAATAGTAATCAGTTATTTAATTACATATAATAATTAATTTTTTAGTTAAATAATAATTAATTATTTGATGACCCACTAATTAATATTTTACTTAATAATTATTGAAATTTTCGTAGTTAATAACTTTCTTTTTTTTATAAATAATTTTAGTAATTAATTTTTAATTATTAATAAAATCAATCATTTATAATCCAGAATATTTTTTGTTTCTTTTATTTCAATAATAAATTTTATTCACAATAATTTTTAAAGAAATTAATTACGTAAATAATTACTATTTTAATTAAATAGTAATTTAAATTAAATTAATGTTTAGGTAGTTTTCATTAAAGAAAGGGAATTAATTTTACTGCAGTTTTTAAATTTTCTCTTGACATTTTTTTTTGCCAAGTTTTCAGAGAAGTTATTTATTCATTGTCAACTTGTGCTTGAGCTATTTTTGCAAAATTGTGGTCGGTTATTTATGTTGCCAGTTAACAATGCGTCAGTTGCAATGTAGAAAATATGCGTAACTTCAATTATCTTATCATTACATTATTACGATCTCAAATTTTATGAGTCGTAAAAACAATTTCATTCACACATGTTTCTTTGACAATAATTTCCTCATTCAGAGGTATTCACTTCTCATCTTGATTCACACTTTAAAAATTACCTAAAAGAACAAAATAAAGAAATAAAAAAATAAAATGAATAAGGAATAATGATTTGCTTCTTAAGTAGTTTTTTTCGGAGCGAGACATAAATAGTGAAAACTAAAATTCCCTAATATGAAAGTTCCAAATTTCACGAATTAAAAAACAAAAATTAATTAAATTTCCTTTCAGATTATGAAACTGGTGAATAGAGCGATAGGCGACAGACTCTTCTCCCTGATAATGAAATGCACTTTTTACGGTCATTTTGTCGCTGGTGAGGACGAAGTAAAAATCAGACCTGTTATTGAAAGACTACGACAATTTGGCGTGAAACCGATATTGGATTATTCCGTTGAGGAAGATATTTCACAAGAAGAAGCCGAGAGAAGGGAACTTCAGTAAGTTGAATTTATTTTCAAATTATAATTTTCCTTTCAATTCCTATAATTTCAAATAAAATTAACATTTTTTTTTCTTTTTTAAATCCCAGAGCCTCAGTCTCTGAAGCCGGAGACCAACAGCAGGAGGGTGCATTAAAGAAATATCACGTGGAGAAATCATTCGCGGATCGACGATATAAAGTTTCATCGGCAAGGACCTATTTCTATTTGAATGAAGCCTCCTGCGAACGAAACATGGACGTCTTCATTAATAGTTTAGAAGCCATTGCAAGTGAGTTTTTTTATTTTCTCATTTCAGTGATTGAAAATGAAAAAAAAAAAGAATTCTCAACCTTATAAGTTCTATACTGTATAGTAAATGCTCCATAAAAGAGTAAACAAAATTTTCATTTTTCAATGAATTTACTTTCTTTCAAACTAATTTTCTGAGTTTAATTGAATTACTTGCTTGGATGCTTGCAATTAAAATTGTTGCCAAAGACAATTTTCTGACAACGATCGGAATAATAAATTTCCTCATACTTTGCCAATAAATAATATGCTGCAATTGCTGCAGAAAAGAATATATCACACTTACTAATTAAATTAAAAATATTAAAATTTTACTTTTAAAATTTTATCGAGACTTAATTTGAAATATAATTTTTTTAAGATGTCTCCATGGGTACCGGTATCGCTGCTGTTAAATTAACCGCTCTTGGTCGACCTCAACTCTTGGTATGTATATTTTATAGATTCTATAAAATTTAAATTTTATTAAATTTAAATTTATTTGAATTAGTTAAAATTAACGATTTTTATTTTATTTTAATTCTGAAGGGAATAAAATAAAAATTCTAAAAATTGTCAACTGACATGAGGTTGACTATGAGGTCCTGTGATTTAAAAAAATTTTTTATTTATTCACTTGAAATTTCACTTTTAAAAAAAGCATCTTCTTTAATTCTATGAGGTAGAAAAGAATTTTTTTCTTATTTACTTGAAATTTTTAAAAAATAATTTTATTTTCTGTAGAAAAACAAATTTTTATAAACAGGGTGGAGAACAAAAGTTGGAAATAGAATTCAAGGCTTTTTCTTGGTTAAAAAAAATTTCAAGGTTTTAAATAAACTTAAAATAAAAGTAGTGGAAAATAAAATTTAAAAATAAATTTATGAGAGTTAAATAAAGTTATGTAAGAAAATTAAAATACTATAAAAATTACGCTCCTTAAAGGTTGAAAAAAATAATGGTTTTGGAAACCTCTTAGAACTAGAGCAATTTTAATGATGATTTTTATTTTAAAAAATCAGGTAAATAAGAAAATTTTCTTCACGTCATAGAACTAGGGTAGTTGCCAAATTTTTTTTTATGAACTTTGTATTTCTACTTCTATATTCTTATTCGTTTACCAAGTTGAAGTCCACAAAATTGATCAATGAAAAAAAAGTTTCAATAAGTGAATATTTTTAATTGTAAAATTATTCCTAAGCATCAAGAGATTTTTTAAAATAAAAGTTGAATCATTATTTTTATTTTTCCATAAAAATCAAATTTTTAAAAAATTCCAATTTTCAAACCTTTTGAAATTGAATAATCCATAAGAATTGCTACTGTAATTTTTCCAAAATTATTTTCAGGATTTAAAATTTTTTAAATTCCCCGACATTTTCCTGACAATTATTGTCTTTCATTTGAATGTTTGAAACTTTCAGAACACATAATTAAAAAAAATAGATTAACAAATTATCATTTTATTAAAATTATTAATTATTAAATTTTTTTTAAAGCTTCAATTGTCTGAAGTAATTATGCGAGCCCGACAGTACATGAACGATGTGGTTGGCGGTGAAGGTGCCGTTTTGGATCATCACGCGAAACCTGATGATTTTAAAAAGAAATTCGAAGATGCACACATTCAGGACGCTGTACCAGTGAAGAAATTCCTCGATAAAATCCAATCAGATAAAGAAGGGTGAGTAAAATAATTAATCCCATTATATTTATACTAAACTACATATCAAATACTTTGTCTCTCAAAAAAAAATTTTATTTCGCCAAATATTCGTGTTTGTTTTTAACTCTATTTTCTCTTCTATCTATACTAAAAATTACATCACACATTTCTCCTCACTTGTTTTATAATTTTCTTAAAAATTAACAAAACAATATTTAATCTTATTGTGAAAATTTTACCATTTCCCTATCTCAATCGAAGAAACATTTGTAGAAACAGAAAAAAAAGAATTCACATCCTAGAATTTTCCTAATACAAAGTCTGTTTTTTCTTTATTTCATGAAAATGGTTCTCTTGGACAAGCAGAAAGTAAGAATAACATTTAAGCACTTTTCCAGTACAATTTTTTTTATCAACGTTTTATAATTTTTCTTTTTTAGTTGCAATATTTATACTTATATATAAAAAAAGAAGTGAATATGCGACTTAACTTCTATATTTGACAGTCAAAAAAATGTTAGGTAAATTCATAAATTGAATAATAAAAATATTAACTAGAGTAGAATTTTAGACTGAAAGAAGTTCTGTTCATAAATTTAACATTTTTGATGAAGTGGTGAACAGTAGTAGCTTTTTTTCCAATTAAAACGGCTTTTAAAGAGAGTTTTAAATTTTGCTTCAGTGTCAATTTTTTACATTCATTCTTTTATAAAAAAAATTAAATTTATTTCACCGAAACTAATAATATTCACAAAAAAGGAACAAACAAAAACGTTTTTCAAATTTGTCTGTGTTCTTTTATTATTTTGCTTTGTGTGAAGTGGAATCTTTGCTGTTATTAAAATAAGTTGGGTATGTTTTTTCTTTCTAAATGAATAAAAATAATTCAATCATTTCATTCTTTTTATTCATTCTTCAAGATATTATTTTAATGTCAACATATTTAAATTTAAGTAAAACAAATTTATTTTGCTTTGAGTTGAAATTTCCTTTTTTCTATTTTAAATCGAGAGAAACTAATAATTTGTAGGCTACTAATTAATAATAATTTTCAATTGTAAAATTAATTCAATTGATTATTTTTCAAATAGTGTCATTCACTTGTTCCCCTGGAGTGGAATCCTAGACGAAAATTACGAGCTGAGTGAAACTTTCCAAGTTCCGGATATTAAGACTGGAAAAATGGTGAAACTCATGTCCCAGCTGACATCCAAAGAAGAAGAAATGTTTAGAAATATGATTAGAAGATTTAATAGTCTTGTCTCGGTAATGTTTCAAATTATTTACTTTTTCTATCAATGTCAGGGATCACAGAGGTTTTTTCATATAATGCAGAGGGAGAAAAAGTTTATTTGATACAAATAATCGATAAATTTTTTAATATTAATTAATTATTTTTGAGTCTAAAATTTTGTATTTAAATCAAATTAATTTGTATTTCAACCAATTATTTTAGCTTTAGAATCAATAATTTTAGTATTAGAATCAATAATTTTTGCATTTGTAGCAAGTACCATTTAATTGACTTAAATACAAAATATTTGATACAAATAAATATTTATTTAGTATAATAATCAAGTAAACGTTTATTGTAATTAAATACTTTTTTCATTTTCATGTAATATTATAGTTAAAAAAGTAAATTTTAGTAAAATTCACATCGGAAATAGTAAAATTTTCTCCAAAAATAAAAAAATTTACTCTGGAAATAATTTCCAATAACAAATTCAGGGTTGTTACGAAATTTTGATTTTCTTTCTCTCTAATTTTTTCCTGATTTCTAGACAGAAGTATAAATTACTTTCACAATAAAAAAAAATCATTATACTTCTGTTTAAAAATCAGGAAAAAGACAGAAAATAAAATCGAATTTAATAATTACATTAACACATGTTAGTTACATTTGATTCTGACTCTTTATACAAAATTCAATTATTTGCCAATTATTAAAGTAAAATTCTTTGAAAATTTGATTTTTTTAAATTTTCTAATGAAATTATTTATCAAATTTAATTACTTTCAACTTAATTTCACAAAATTTCCATTAATTTGATTATTATTTAATACACCTTTCTTTAAATTCAATTATCTTCAAAAAATTGAATTAAAATTTCTCAAAAAACTGATATTTTCAGAAATTTAAATAAATTTAATTAAAACATAAATAATTTTTCAAGTAATTATTATTTTATTAATAATAATTTATTAATAATTTCGAATTTTGAATTTATTTATTATTTAAAGCTCGAGTAACGTATTTTGATCGAAACGCATCAATTTAAAAAATTCCCCTCCATTTTGGGTCCGCCATATTGAATTTTTCAAATCCAATATCAGATTCTGAATTAGTGATCCTGTGAACCGGTTAAAAAAAGGAAAAAGGACTAACTGTGATCCCTGCAATAAAAAATTTCACCAAATATTCAATTTCTAATGAAATTTTTCTTCTCCTTTTTGTTTACAGATAGCTGACAAGTTAAACGTTAGAATAATGATTGACGCTGAGCAGACGTACTTTCAGCCGGCAATATCAAGGTTAACATTGGAGATGATGCGCAAGTACAATACAAAGAAGGTAATTAATCTTATTGTGTGAATAGTGCCATGAAATATGTATTATTACAGAGGATAAAATGAATGAGCTCTCAAATTCAATGTGTGGTCTACCTCCCTCCTAGGCTGTGGTGTTCAACACATATCAAACATACCTTAAGGATGCCTACAATGAAGTGAAAACCGATCTAGAGCAGGCAGAACGTCAAAATTTCTACTTTGGCGCTAAAATTGTTCGCGGTGCTTACATTGAACAGGTTTGTACATTTTTCTTTCTTTCAGATTAAAAAAAAGCAAAAAAAGACACAAGGTCACAGTGGATTGGAGACAAAAGAAAAATTGGTGGTATTAAAAATATGTTTTGTTTTAAATTTAATGTCGAAATTTTTAAAGAGAGAAAAAGGGTATTGTGGAAAATATTTACCACAAGGTTATAGTGTTGAAAATACTAATTCTTTAGTAAACTAGGAATGTGGTTTTTAATTTTCTTTCTAAGGAACGAGCAAGAGCTGCAGCAATGGGTTATTCTGACCCAACAAATCCCACTTTTGAGGCCACTACGGAATGTTATCACAAGACCCTGATGGAATGCTTGCGAAGAATGAAGCAGTACAAAGACAAGGGAGAGGATCCGAAAAAAATCGGTATCATGGTTGCATCGCACAATGAGAATACTGTGCGTTTCGCAATTGAAAAGTACGTCCTTTTTATTTTCTTTCTACATTTTTTTTTCTGTAAAAACGATTCCTGGTTCATTCTACCAGGTCTTCTCTCACAATTTGAATCAATTAAAAATCATAGTTTTAACTGACAATCAGTGACTGAATTTTTGCTTCTAAATTAATTAAAAATGACTGATTTTCAGTAAAAAGAACTGAAAAATTAGTTAAACTTGACTAATTGAACCATTTAACAAAAATCTACTGAAACATCAGTTATTTCTAACTGACAATCACTTATTTTTAACTAAATGATTAGTAGAAATATTAAAAGTTGGATAAGTAACTGACTTTTTGCTTCAAAATTTTTTATTTTTAACTGATTCTTATTTAAAGAGTCGGGCCGACTACTGTAAGGCTCAAAAAACCTTTAAAAATTTAATTATTTCTAAAAATTACAACTATCTTTCCAAAATTTAATTATTTTCTAGAATTTTTAACTGAAATTCTATAAATAAATCATTTTTAATAATTTTTCTAAAATTCTTCAAGAATTCAGTAATTTAACTACAAAACTTCAATTTTGGTTTTTTTTTAAAGTTATTAGGGTGAATTATTAAAAATATGTAATCAATAATATTAAAAATATTTTATTTTTACAAAATTATAATAAAAAAATTCTTAAAATTAGTTTTTTTAAAATACTTTACAATAATTTTTGTAAGATAATAATTATTAAATTATATACAATTGAAAAGTTCCCCAATAACTGAAATTCAGAAAAAAATTATTGAAAATAATTGACTTTTTCAAATAAATTTTGAAAAATATTTTAAAATAATCAATTTTTTGAAAAGTTTTAATTAAAAATATGAAAATATGATTTCTTGAAAATTTTAAGACGACTAAAAAAGTTGATTTTTTAAAAATATTAATTTACGTTTTTTAAAGATATGTAATTGAATTTTATAAAATTATAATTAATTTATTTAAAAAAATATTTAAATCTAATTTTCTTTAATTTCCATTTTAAAATTTTTATTTAAAGACTTTTCATTAAAATTTTTATAAATTCAATTGCTTTCGAACTTTGCAATAAAAATTTGTCAAAATTTGAATCAAAAAAATTTTAATGTATACTTAAAAAATTAAGTTCATACATATATATTCAATAACATTTTACAAAATTTCAATTATTTAGAAACTTTTTAATTATATATTTAAGAACTTTAATTGTCTTAAAAATATTATTAAAAAATCAGGAAAAAATCATTATTAGATGTCATTACATTTAATTGCGTCAATAGTTTCCAAACTGTTGCAAGACAACAAAATTCAAAATTTTCTTATGAATTCTAAAAATTTAATTATTACCAGTAATTTTGATAAAATTCTCTGACTTTTTCATGATTTTTTAACAATTTTTTCAAGATAATTAAAGTTTCAATTGATTTAATTATTGTATTAAAGTTTTATATATTTTTTTTATATATTATTTTATATATTAAAATGCTTAGATTATATAAATATTTATTTTTATTGGATGAGTAGAATTTCGTTTTTATGACTCTTGCCATTGATAAATTTTTGATGAGTGTAATATTGAGGATTATTTACCATTGTTGAAAATATCTTAGGAATATTATTTTATGTATGTTTTTCTTTTATGTATATAATGTATTCTTAAATTTTTTGCTGAATATTTTATTTTAATTATTGTTCTTGTGACTTGCCTGGGACAAAATAAAGAATTTATGAATTATGAATGAATAATCTGACAATATTTTAACATTACAAAATATATTAAATTGAATTTATTAAAAGTAATTTAATTCTTAAAGAACTATGTATAATAAAACTATTACTTATAAATTATTTAACCAATAATTTGACTCACAAATTTCAAAAGGTTTTAAATTAAAATTTTTAAAAATTTTAGAAAATTTAAATTTTAAATATAATTATGTTTGATATTATTTAATAATTTTATAAATAAATTGACTTGAAAATTTTCGAATAATAAAAATTATGTAAAATTCAATTGTTAATAATTGGATTTTAGAATTAGTTTATGTATACTTTCCTTTTTTCTTTGAATAATTGAATTATCAAAGAACTTTTTTAAAAATTATTAAAAATAATTGATTTAAAGAAGAATTTTAGTTCAAAACCCTCGGAATTAATTGAATTGACACAACAAAAACAATTTTGGAAATATTGCAGCAGCAATGCAAAAATTTGAATTTAAAATTTGAAAATCTTAAATCTAATGAAGAAATAATATTGATGATTAAATATTTATAAAAAAAAAAAATTGTTGATATTTTCAAAGAATATTTCAATTAAAGATATTCACAAATAAATATATTAGAAACATTTTTTTTTGTTTATCTAATCATTTTTAGATTCATGAAAAAAGTCAAAATTTTGTCGGGAAATGAAGGAAAAGCAAAAATAAATTTTCGTGGCAATTTTTTGCTTCTTAGGTAACTTTCTTCGGAGCGCATTACAAATATGCTTCCATTTATTTTTTAATATTTTTTTGTGAAAATCATTAGACCAGTGGATTATTCATAAACAAATTTAAATAAACAAAAAACTGTTTACAAAAAGTAAAAAAAAATTTAGTAAAAACCTAAAAGTACAAAAAAGACTAAAAAGTTGTTTTATTTCAGAATGAAAGAAATCGGAATATCGCCCGAAGATAAAGTCATTTGTTTCGGTCAATTATTAGGCATGTGTGATTACATTACATTCCCTCTCGGTGAGTATTTTTCATAAATTTATTTTTGAAAAATTTTATTTATTTTAATTTTATATATTTATTTACATATAAAATAAAATTTGTTTCAGGACAATCGGGATACTCGGCTTATAAATACATTCCGTATGGTCCGGTGAAAGAAGTATTACCATATTTGTCTCGCAGGGCACAGGAAAATCGAGGCGTTCTTAAGAAGATAAAAAAGGAAAAGGCACTTTTATTAAACGAAATTTTTAGGCGCATTGTCCGTGGACAAATATTTTACAAACCCAAAGGCAATTATACTCCCGTTTGAACAATTACCGCTTTTATCCGGCGCGAGTCGAGAATTAAAGTTTTTAAAAGTAGCAATTGCAGTTTAACGAATCTCAAAATGATCATAATATAAAAAAAGTCGACGAATTGAATGAAAAAAAAATTTAACGCATTCATCACAAAATTGATGGAATTCCGAATAAAAGACAAATATACGATGAGAAAAATAAAAGCTCTGTGAGCTATTAAAATAAGTAAAATCGCTTCGAAGCGATTAAATTAAACGTTAAAAAAACTTGCGTGACAGTAAGAAGAAGATCAGCAGGATCTGATAGAATTTTTTTTTAAATAGTGAATTGGATTTTAACTCATGAGTAAAGACGTTTATAATTTCGCATCATTATTGCTTTCCCTGGCGAATTTATTTTGATACGAAAATATCTAAAAACGAAAGAAAAAAAGGAAAAAAAAAAGTTTCTGAAGTAATGAAATATTTCATGAACTTTTTTCTATATTTAGTGTCCTACGTCTGTAATAGTTGAATTGATTGTTTTAAATCAGTTACTCAAAATATGCCAATGGAAATTTTTCGTAGAAATGTTTTTTTTGCAATTTTATTTATTTTAGACTCGCATTTTCCGTTTAGAATTTAGGATTAGTGATTTTTATGTTTTAATGTTGATTTATTACGTCGAGCTCTTTTTAATTTTCAATTTTATAAAACTGCAATTATTAAGTTTGACATTCATCTTGTAGACGACAATATTATTAACGTTTTAATTTGTTCTTTTTTTTGTAAACAATTTTGTAAGAAAGAAACGGAAAGTAAAACGAGATGGAGAGAGAGAGAGAAAGAGAGATTAAAATATAGAAAATATCTTTTAGAAAAATAAACGAAAAAAAAACTTTATGATCTCAATTCAGAATTAAACGAATTAATGTTAAATGTCGAAAATTTACACAATTTGAAAAAATTTTATTAATAAAATGTTAAAATGAATTAAAAATTTTCTTGGATTTTTTTTCTTTAGAAAAATTAAGACAATTTTAACGAATAGTCCGACTGACAATCGGAACAAAAGTTAATCCATTATTTTGAATTTTAAATAAAGAAAACCAATCGAATTTGAATTAATTTTGATGGAAGCGAAAAGAATTTCATTTTCAACATTTTAAATAATTTAAATTTGCATTTTTTCTGTTACTTTTTCAATTTTCTGTCAATAAAAAACGATTAATTTAACAAAAATTTCTCATTGGCAAAAATATTGTAATTTTTATTTAAACAAAACTTTTAATTGGCTGAAATATTTAAAAATTAAAATCTTTATCCTTCCATCAAAACGAATTTAAAATTTTATATTTTTCTTTCAAAATACGAAATTATGACACTAATTTTTGTTTTTACTGTCCGTCATATTTTTCATTCAATCAACAAAAATAGGGAATTTTCGAAATCTAATTATTTTTTTGCTACAAAATCGTTTCTTTTTTTAAATGTCATAGTATCTTCTGGTCAGGGTATTAAATCAGAATTGATTGTTGTAAATTAGTCGAATTTTATTTTTTCGCTAAAAATCGACAAAAATGATATTATCGTTCGTCCTTTAAATATAATTATTATATGGTCCCTATGTTCAAGTATTAAGTTTAGCGTATGCATTCAAGTACAAAACTACTTTAGTAAGCTTTTACAATGTTTTTTGATGCTACTTCGTTTTACTATTCATGTCATTTTGCTTTTCAACTTTTCATCAATTATAATTATTTCAAAAGGAATTTTTAATTAATTAATTAATTTATAACTAAATAAATTTATTAATTTTCAAATAAAATACATAAATACAAATACTTCTGATTTTTTTTCAAACTCAAATTGACAAACTCAAAAAAATATCTCAACAAATTGTAATCCTTGAAACTTTTATTAAACTTTTGCAATTTTTTCAAATTTCAAAAAATTATAAGATGCAAAAAAAAAATTAAAATTATTTCATAAATTAAAAAATTTCACATTGTCACTAAAAATCAGAAGTAATTTTATTTCTAAAAATTCGTGATAATCGAAGGAAAGTATAAAAAAAATATTTTACAAGGTAAAAAAATTTCTAAAAGACTAAAAACTTTATAAAAAGCAAAATGATACGAGAATCTTAATTGATCTCTTTAATATAAAAAACATATACATACTTCATCATCAACTGTGATTTGCGATTTAATTTTACTATTATAATATTATCCTATACATGAAATCGACGTTTATTATTGATTATTATTATTATTATTTTATATTCATCTGCTATTATAATTAATTTTCAATTTTTACAAATTGTGTGAACTGTCAAACCTTGGAAATACTATAGAAAATTTTTTTGGAAAATAAAGGGGCATTGTTAAAGTTAAAAAAAAATTGTAGCCAAATATTTTCACGAACATAAAAATTATCAGTCTATAAATATCAGTTTATTTATAACAGTCTATAAATAATAAAATGTGGGAGTATAACGATTATTTCAAAATAGAAGACTATTTTCATGAAAATTTATTAGACAAAAATTAATTTCGTTAATATTTATTTAATGATGAACAAATATTTATCATCCAGATAAAAATTCGGTTCGTACTTCTTAATTTTTCTACTCAAACTAGACAAAAATAGACGTTTAGTATCTTTGATAAACGTGATATTGACAATAATATTATTATTTAGATAGATAATGTTAATTATGAGAATTAAGAACAACATTTATTATCATCAGTAATATAAAAAATACTGATTGAAAATTATTAATAATTATAAGAAAAAATAAACCTTGTTATGCAAATTTTTTTTCTTTAGGGAAATCAAATTTAATTAGTTTGTTATTTTTTTTAATAGAGCAGTAAATTAAAATAATATAATACTACTATTAATATATTATTATATAAAATAATAGTATATATATATACAAAAAAAGTCAAATAAATATTTTGTTTGCTCTTTGCTTTTTTGCAGACAGTAAAAATATTTATTAATAGTAAGTAACTATTTAGCAGTTAATAGTGAAAGTCATAGAAATATTTACTGGAAAAATTAATTATTGTTTTGTAAAATAATAATAACGCTATAATTATCAATGCGAATTTTGAGAAGTTATTTCTAATTTTCATTTTGTTATTTTCCTTTTAAGTTTATATATTTATACAGAGAAAAAAAATTGGAATAATTTATATAAAACGTTAATTCTATCGAAAAATATAAATACATGGCTGCATACATAATTATTATAATACGCTTAATGACATATTATTATAATCATGCTATGTAGTTTTATATACAAATATTAATAATACATATAATGTATTAACTATTAATAATTATAAAGATTACAAAGATATTTATCAATAAAAAATATTAATTTATTTTTATTATGTACGTTTATTATATTAAATAATTATATTTAAATTATTATTAAACATGCAATATTAAATATAATATAAAAATACTTACTCCGAGGAAAGATACCAAAGAAGCAAAAGAAATTTTAGGTTATGTTTGTAATTTTTTGATTGAAAATACATAAAAGAGATCAATTCTCAATATAAACTACTGATGTTTAAGTCTTCATTACATATAAAATAACTATTAGAAACTTATTTTTGTTTCACACAAATAAACAGAAACTTTTAACTAAGGTAAAAAAGAACACAAACATAATCTTCAAAAGCTTTGCTTCTCAGGTACCTTTCTTCACATCAAAAATATAATATTATGATAATATTGAATATAATATTAATTGTAATATTAAATATCATTTTAAATATAATTATTACAGTATGTATATACATATATAATATAAATAAATAAATAAATTTTTTATGAAAGTAGATTTTCTTTAATATAAACTATTACGAACGTTAAAAGAAACTGTCAATTATTATTTATAGAAAACTTAAAAAACCGTAATTTATTCCTCAATTTCAACATCTAGAAAAAGTATATAAAGGAAATAATTTTATAGTTTTCAATTTTTTCTAATAATTAAAAAATTGGTAAAATGACCTATCCAGATAGTATATATTTAAGATTTTATTTGTACAAGAGTAAAATTTATAATATATTGAAAATAGACACTTTGCTAAAGCAGTATTCGATTTAAAAAGAAATCAGTAATAAATCGTCGTAGCTACTGCAATACCGTAAATCAGACAATTCTTTAAGGGCAATATTGCATATAAAATTGCAAAAAAAAAAACCTTAAAGAAGTTTGCGTGATACGCAGTATTGCACCAGCTTAGACAAAACGTATAACGCAAATCTATAAGACACCTGTAATTAGAGTGTAAAAAATATTTGTAAAACTAATATAAATTTAATGAAAAGCCATTCAAAAATTAGCGCGAATTATTTCAACCAATTGGATTATCCTGCATTCCCGGCGGGCTTTTCTTTAAAACCATTTTGATTATAATTCAAAAAAATTCATTTAATTTTTTCAAACTAAAAATTACAAAAAAATAATGTTAATTTTCATTAAACCTTGGATTTCATTAACAGCAATTATTTTTATCATTATTTAAAACTGACAGAATTTGAATTTGACGAGCGACTATTTATTTCGCTCGAAGATTTTCGATATATCGAATTGCGATATAAAAAACCTTCCCGCTTCCTTCTGGAAGAATTTAACTTGAGAATTTGTCAAATCAATTTATTGAAAGGAAAATTCAATATAAATTCTACATATTTTACAAGAAGGAAAATAACAAAATTATAAGTTGCAATTAATAGCGCAAGAAAAATTAATTACAAAATAAACTAATCGCACATGATTTGCAAGTGTGATTCCTGACAAAATCAGACACGTTTGAGAACCCCTTGGAGCACTCCGAGCATAAATATAATGTCGAAAACACCCAGATACAATATGTAAGATTTGTTAAAAGTTTAATTAATTTGCAAAAAGCAATTAAAACAAAAAAAAAGTTTCATTAAATCTTATGATTCGACTGAAGAAATTTCGAATGTTATTATATTAATAATTAATTAAATTTATATTAAAAAGAACCCTTAAAAGGATAAACTCAGAGTTTACTAGAAAAAAATTTAAAAAAAAATTTATTTTTTAAACAGAAGCATACGTTTCTGCACTTTTGTTCTCACAACTAGAAAGCAGAGACAGAATTAAATCATCACCCTCTAATTTTTTTTAAATCGAAAAAACTACCCTTATATGGATAATATCAGACTTTAAAGGAAAAAAAAATTTAAATGAGTTTTTTAAAAGAACCATTAAAAATTATATATTTCTGCATCTTATTTTCAAACGAGCGGTGGTGTGGATTTCTTTTTCTTTGATCTGTATTTGTTTCCTTCTTTTAAAACAAAGTGAAGTTAAAAAAAAAATTTTAATTTTTGTATTAAAAAACTGAATAACAATCTGTTATTCAATTTTGTTTACTGTAAACTTTGAATTTGTACATTTAAGGGTAGTTTTTTCGATTTAAAAAAAACAGAGGGTGATGGTCTGGTTTAATAAACAGACCACTTTTTCATAAACGAAATTTCACTTTAAAAAGATTGAGTTTTTTAAAGAAATCTCAATTAAAAATAATTAGGGGCCATCCATAAACCACGTGGATAATTTTTCACCAATTTTTGACCCCCCCGCCCCCCGTTGTGGACAGTCGTGGACATTTGTCAAACCCCCTCCCCCCTATACAATTGTCCACGTGGATATTGCAAATTAAAAAAATAAGTTTTTTTGTACTCCTGTATGTTAAAAAATAAAAAAGATTATTTTTGAACATATTTCAAAGCAAGAATGTCATTAAAGTCAGGGAAATGTCAGGAAAAAATTGTTTGTCAGGAAAATTAAGAAAATTGTGACTTTTTTCGACTCATTTAAAAAAACTGCGACAAAATACCACAATTTTCAGCAAAAAAAAAGTACAAGTTATTTTGATTTTTATAATGTGAAAAATAACTATAAACAAATCTTTTTGAATAGTTGAAATTTTGTAAAATTTAATTGAAAATAATAAATTTATTTCAAGTCTTTTGTTACAATTTTTGAAGAATAAAAAATCTTTAAAGGTAAATTTAAAAATGAAAATTAATGAAAATTAGCTTCTAATTTTTTAAAATTCAATATTTTCAATTACATATTTTCAAAAATTCAAATATATACAAAAAAATAACATTTTAAAATTATTTTTAACATTTTAGAGGAGACAATCATGTTCGAAATTTTTAATTAAAATTTATCAATCAAATTCAAAAATAATTTTAAAATATAACAGAATTTTAGAAGAACTTTCGGAAAATTATTTAAATTAATTGATTCAGAGACGAAGGTTTAATTGGAAATTGTAGAAAATAATTGAATTCAGGAAGGGTTATAATTGTCATTTTAAAAAATAATTAAAATCATAAATTTTACTCATTTTCCGTAAACATTCATATTTTCTTGTAAAAAGAATTTTGTCAGGGAAATTAATTTTAATGTCAGTAAATTGTCAGGGAAATTGATTAACTGAAACTTATGATCATCCTGATTACGCTTAAGATATCTTTTTTGGAAATATCTTTGATTATATGTCCACGTTGACATTTGCTTTAACACCCCCCCTCTCCTTCGTGGACAAACGTGGACTTTTGATTCACCCCCCCAAATGTGTCCACGTGGTTTATGGACGGCCCCTTACCCCTTAGATTTGAATTAACAAATACATCACGAAACTAAACGTAATTGTTCTGTCTATTTCAAATAATAAAATTAATAACAATCACGGCTTATATATTAATTGCTTCCGAAAGTCTTTTTACCAAACTTTTATGAGAATACTTCAATCTTCCTTATAAAAGCTATAACATTCCAATATTACAAAATTACAATATTTTAACCATTTCTAATGAAAATAAAAAAATGAGTCATAACATCGTCATAAAAGCTAAAAATAAAAAAAACTGATAACTTTTTTTCTCTCGACAAAAAGATTAATTATAATGATCGTTTAGTATAAAAGTCTGAAATGATTCTTATCAATTCGCAAAATTGATAAAAAAGATGACACACAAAATCTCAGTAACTATTATATATTCACTTTCTCAATAATTAAAAAACATTTGTAACTTTTTATCAACTTCGATCAACCTTGGCATTTCTCTTGATATGTTTTCCGTTTAGCAATGGGTCAGTCACCTCATCTTCATCGTTTCATACTTACATTATTTTTGCGCTGCATATTTTGAGTCAGTGTTTAATCATACTCGTTTAAACGAGAACGTTCATCTTGCAAATCATGTGCGGTTTTTCTTATTTTGTAATTCATTTTTCTTCCGGTAATAATTGCAACTTATAATTTTGTTATTTTCTCTTTCGTAAAATATGTATAATTTATATTGAATTTTCCTTTTACTAAATTTTAGTACCTAAGGAGGACAGCTGTTTTGTTGAAAAGTAGAAAGAAATTTTTTACTTTTGTTTTTAAATCCTGACCCGGAGTGATCGTTTAATTTCATCGTTTTATATTCAGAAATATACTTGGAAATTTGTGTTTATTTTGTGTTTCAAATTTGATTCTTAGTTGTTAATTATTCTGTAAGATTAAATTTTATCTAAATTACAATATATTCTTTATAGGAAAAATCAACGTTATACGTCATCTTCCGATGTTATCAGACTTTTAATACAGTTTGCGTTTGCCAGGCAAATTGAAGGGCTACATAAAATAAGGGGACGAACGCGAGGCTTGGAAGGGATACTACCAGTCGGGTAGCAGTGACAAGCCTTGAGCCGCTCGCTGCTACCTGACTGATATTATCCCTTTCAACCACGCGTTCGTCCCCTTATTTTCTGTAGCCCTTCAATTTTACTTGAGACCCAAGTTGTGTTGACTTGAATGCTACTGTTTGAGTCACTCAGACAGATACTACATACTACACTACACTTGGATCACCGTTTATCGTAGCCTTTTTCGCTCTCCGTATAACCTATTATTTTGACATTATGCGATTTTGTGCATTTTATTACCTACATGGATAATTATCAATCACTGTACAAACAGACAATGACTATTTTTTCTGTCTTGTCGAGAAGTTGTGCAGTTTTTCTTTTTTATTGCAATGTTTGAAGAATTTTTGAAACATATTTTGAATGCAACAAGTTATTGTAATGTTGACAATAAATAACGGTAATTATTACATTTGAACTCTGTTTAATAAACTGAGCAAACTATAGTGAAATTAACTAACCGGGCATTTAAAACTCCATGTGAATATTGTTTTTACCACTAAATACAAGAAAATATCATTATAAAAATGGTAAGATATTTACTACTTTTTAAATAAATATTTCATTAAAATTCAAAACTGCACAAAACTAACTGAAACAAAAAGTTATAAAACTAGTAAATTAATATATTTTTCAAACTTGTAAATAATAACAACTTTATATTTTTAACTTTTTAACAAACACTCAAAATTCAGGACACTAAAGTTCTGAACGTTCAAATGAACGAAATTTTTTTTTTTAATTTCCCCATTTTTTTTCAATAATCTTATTCAAAATAGTAAATAAAACAAATATCCATTACAAAATTACAGAAATTTTATTATTAGGGGTGGAAAACATCCCCTATGCAAATAACACATATAAGTAATAATTCAAATCGCTATTTACTGTTCGCCTTTTTGGATAAAAATATTTTTAAAAATTCCCTAAAAATATACCAAGTCATTTCCACTTTGTTAGATGCGGCGCGCGAACCCCCAAAAACCACCCTTAATTAATTAATATTCTCAATGGCCATAAACAGCTATTTACTGTTCGCCTTTTTGGCCAGAAATATTTTTAAAAATTCCCTAAAAATATACCAAGTCATTTCCACTTTGTTAGATGCGGCGCGCGAACCCTCAAAAACCACCCTTAATTAATTAATATTCTCAATGGCCATAAACAGCTATTTACTGTTCGCCTTTTTGGCCAGAAATATTTTTAAAAATTCCCTAAAAATATACCAAGTCATTTCCACTTTGTTAGATGCGGCGCGCGAACCCCCAAAAACCACCCTTAATTAATTATTATTTATAATGGCCATAAGTAGCTATTTACTGTTCGCCTTTTTGGCCACAAATATTTTTAAAAATTCCCTAAAAATATACCAAGTCATTTCCACTTTGTAAGATGCGGCGCGCGAACCCTCAAAAACCACCCTTAATTAATTATTATTTATAATGGCCATAAGAAGCTATTTACTGTTCGCCTTTTTGGCCAGAAATATTTTTAAAAATTCCATAAAAATATACCAAGTCATTTCCACTTTGTAAGATGCGGCGCGCGAACCCTCAAAAACCACCCTTAATTAATTATTATTTATAATGGCCATAAGTAGCTATTTACTGTTCGCCTTTTTGGCCAGAAATATTTTTAAAAATTCCCTAAAAATATACCAAGTCATTTCCACTTTGTAAGATGCGGCGCGCGAACCCTCAAAAACCACCCTTAATTAATTATTATTTATAATGGCCATAAGTAGCTATTTACTGTTCGCCTTTTTTTATGAAAATATTTTTGAAAATTCCCTAAAAATATACCAAGTCATTTCCACTTTGTAAGATGCGGCGCGCGAACCCTCAAAAACCACCCTTAATTAATTATTATTTATAATAGCCATAAGTAGCTATTTACTGTTCGCCTTTTTGGCCAGAAATATTTTTAAAAATTCCCTAAAAATATACCAAGTCATTTCCACTTTGTTAGATGCGGCGCGCGAACCCCCAAAAACCACCCTTAATTAATTAATATTCTCAATGGCCATAAACATCTATTTACTGTTCGCCTTTTTGGCCAGAAATATTTTTAAAAATTCCCTAAAAATATACCAAGTCATTTCCACTTTGTTAGATGCGGCGCGCGAACCCCCAAAAACCACCCTTAATTAATTAATATTCTCAATGGCCATAAACAGCTATTTACTGTTCGCCTTTTTGGCCAGAAATATTTTTAAAAATTCCCTAAAAATATACCAAGTCATTTCCACTTTGTTAGATGCGGCGCGCGAACCCCCAAAAACCACCCTTAATTAATTAATATTCTCAATGGCCATAAACAGCTATTTACTGTTCGCCTTTTTGGCCAGAAATATTTTTAAAAATTCCCTAAAAATATACCAAGTCATTTCCAGTTTGTTAGATGCGGCGCGCGAACCCTCAAAAACCACCCTTAATTAATTAATATTCTCAATGGCCATAAACAGCTATTTACTGTTCGCCTTTTTGGCCAGAAATATTTTTAAAAATTCCCTAAAAATATACCAAGTCATTTCCACTTTGTTAGATGCGGCGCGCGAACCCCCAAAAACCACCCTTAATTAATTATTATTTATAATGGCCATAAGTAGCTATTTACTGTTCGCCTTTTTGGCCACAAATATTTTTAAAAATTCCCTAAAAATATACCAAGTCATTTCCACTTTGTAAGATGCGGCGCGCGAACCCCCAAAAACCACCCTTAATTAATTATTATTTATAATGGCCATAAGAAGCTATTTACTGTTCGCCTTTTTGGCCACAAATATTTTTAAAAATTCCCTAAAAATATACCAAGTCATTTCCACTTTGTAAGATGCGGCGCGCGAACCCTCAAAAACCACCCTTAATTAATTATTATTTATAATAGCCATAAGTAGCTATTTACTGTTCGCCTTTTTGGCCAGAAATATTTTTAAAAATTCCCTAAAAATATACCAAGTCATTTCCACTTTGTTAGATGCGGCGCGCGAACCCCCAAAAACCACCCTTAATTAATTAATATTCTCAATGGCCATAAACATCTATTTACTGTTCGCCTTTTTGGCCAGAAATATTTTTAAAAATTCCCTAAAAATATACCAAGTCATTTCCACTTTGTTAGATGCGGCGCGCGAACCCCCAAAAACCACCCTTAATTAATTAATATTCTCAATGGCCATAAACAGCTATTTACTGTTCGCCATTTTGGCCAGAAATATTTTTAAAAATTCCCTAAAAATATACCAAGTCATTTCCACTTTGTTAGATGCGGCGCGCGAACCCCCAAAAACCACCCTTAATTAATTAATATTCTCAATGGCCATAAACAGCTATTTACTGTTCGCCTTTTTGGCCAGAAATATTTTTAAAAATTCCCTAAAAATATACCAAGTCATTTCCACTTTGTTAGATGCGGCGCGCGAACCCCCAAAAACCACCCTTAATTAATTAATATTCTCAATGGCCATAAACAGCTATTTACTGTTCGCCTTTTTTTATGAAAATATTTTTGAAAATTCCCTAAAAATATACCAAGTCATTTCCACTTTGTTAGATGCGGCGCGCGAACCTCCAAAAACCACCCTTAATTAATTAATATTCTCAATGGCCATAAACAGCTATTTACTGTTCGCCTTTTTGGCCAAAAATATTTTTAAAAATTCCCTAAAAATATACCAAGTCATTTCCACTTTGTAAGATGCGGCGCGCGAACCCTCAAAAACCACCCTTAATTAATTATTATTTATAATGGCCATAAGTAGCTATTTACTGTTCGCCTTTTTGGCCAGAAATATTTTTAAAAATTCCCTAAAAATATACCAAGTCATTTCCACTTTGTTAGATGCGGCGCGCGAACTTCCAAAAACCACCCTTAATTAATTAATATTCTCAATGGCCATAAACATCTATTTACTGTTCGCCTTTTTGGCCAGAAATATTTTTAAAAATTCCCTAAAAATATACCAAGTCATTTCCACTTTGTAAGATGCGGCGCGCGAACCCCCAAAAACCACCCTTAATTAATTAATATTCTCAATGGCCATATACAGCTATTTACTGTTCGCCTTTTTGGCCAGAAATATTTTTAAAAATTCCCTAAAAATATACCAAGTCATTTCCACTTTGTTAGGTGCGGCGCGCGAACCCCCAAAAACCACCCTTAATTAATTAATATTCTCAATGGCCATATACAGCTATTTACTGTTCGCCTTTTTGGCCAGAAATATTTTTAAAAATTCCCTAAAAATATACCAAGTCATTTCCACTTTGTTAGGTGCGGCGCGCGAACCCCCAAAAACCACCCTTAATTAATTAATATTCTCAATGGCCATAAACATCTATTTACTGTTCGCCTTTTTGGCCAGAAATATTTTTAAAAATTCCCTAAAAATATACCAAGTCATTTCCACTTTGTTAGATGCGGCGCGCGAACCCCCAAAAACCACCCTTAATTAATTAATTTTCATTATGGTCATAAACATCTATTTACTGTTCGCCTTTTTGGATAAAAATATTTTTAAAAATTCCCTAAAAATATACCAAGTCATTTCCACTTTGTTAGATTGCCCCACTCGGAGCAATCGATGTCTTCATGTTTTATAATAATTAAAGATGACCGAGTGATAAAATCATTAATTTATATTAAAAGACTTCATAAAAAAAATTTTTTAAAATTATTTTTTATGCAAATAATTGAATTATTGGGAAGAAATTTATAAAACATTAGTAAGTAATTGAATTTTGCAGAAAAGTGTTGATATTTACAAAGATAATTGAAATTTTGAAGAGAATTAAAAAAATTTTTTGAAATTATTGAATTTCTGTGAAGAATTTTTTTACTATTGAAGATAATTGAATTTTGCAAAAAAATTTGATCACAACTTTTGAAAATAATTAAATTTCCAGTATGAATTTTATTATTTATGAAGATAATAAAAATTTTAACGAGAAATTAAAAAAAAAATTGAAAATAATTTAATTTCTGCGAAGAATTTTATTACTTTTGAAAATAATTGAATTTATAGGATAAATTATATTATTTAAAAAGATAATTGAAAATTTGACAAGAATTTTATTAAAATTCTTTGCAAATAATTGAATTTCAGAAAAGAATTTTATTACTTTTGAAAATAATTGAATTCATGTGATTAATTTTATTAATTTTGGCAAATAATTGAATTTCTGTGGAGAATTTTATTAAAAGTTTGGAGAATAATTGAATTCTTGCAAAGATTTTTATTAATATTTGAAAAAAATTAATTTTCCGTAAAAAATTCAATTTAATTTTGAAAATAATTAAATTTTTGCGAAGAATTTTACTAAAATTCCTTAAAATAATTAAACTTTCGCGAAAAAAATTTTGTATTAAAAACAATTCAATTCTTATCATTAATTTAATTAAAATTTTTCAAAATAATTGAATTTCTTTAGAAGAATTTTAGTAATATAATATTTTATTGAAAATAATTGAATTCTTATGATAAATTTGATGAATTTTCGAAAATAATTGATGTCATGCGAAGAGTTCAATT